GTAAGGCGTTTGGATCCTCAGTGCAGGGTGAGTTGATGATCCCTTGACCCTTGCATGGAATACACCCTAATACTAAGCTTGATTTTATCGGGGTAACTATTTGAGATAAGGGATGAGCATTACCTCGTTTCCTGTTAATGATTAAAGCAGAAATTGACCCCTGGTCTTCGTAGAATGGTGGTCCCTGGTGGTGCTTCATTTGAAAAAATGCTCAGCGCCACAGCATGGTGAAGCTAGATGGGAATCTTTCAATATTTGCAATGCCCAGTTGTTGTTGCTTGGTCGATTCTTGCGATTCTTGAGCCTGGGGGCCAAAACTACCAGGCTTAGTTCAATCATTCTTAGACCAATTGTTCTTTGGACCGCATCACATCCATCATTCAGCCCTTGTGATTTCCTAGTAGCCATTGTTATCACCCAAACACTCAAACCATTGTATAGCCAGCTTGGAGTGCTCGCATCTTATTGTTTTTACTTTGATTACTTATACTGATACTTCTTCGATTTAAAAGAAGTGCATTTGATTTGCACTATCAATCCTATAGATTATTCATCTCAATCCTACTTTTTCACTCATTCTTGATCCAAAGTCAAATGATACAAATGATATATATGGTGATTCAAACTTATTGCTTCAAACTTATTGATAATTTATTGGTAAACCAGGGGATTCATCCCAATCCACCCAGGACCGGCAAGGGTGCGAAAGGACCTGCAGGACCCGCAGGACCTGCTGCAGCGCCTGGAGCTCATTGGAGCAGCTCCAAGAATTCTGTGAGGAAAATGATATTATGGATGATAAACCATTGGAACATGATGGAAAATGATATGTTTATAGACTGTTTATATATAGATGTTTTGATGATGTTATAAATTGTTATAAGTTATAGTCTATATAGTTGATAAACCATTGGATGTTGGGGGTATGCATGGGTATGCTCTCTTTGGACAAACTCAGAATTGCATGGCTTGAAACAAACTGAAACAGATTGAAGCAGGTTGAAACCTGTTCAAACAGGTTTAAACGACCAACAAACATTTTTCGGTCAGCCCCGGAGTTCAGAGATTTCCTGGTGGTTCACCTGCAAGGCCACCGGCAGAGAAGCTTGAGGCGAGTGGGATTGATTTTATGTGATTTTTTTCTCAAATTAGCATTCAATCATGACAATGACCATATTCAATCTATGACATCTTCTTGGCGAAGTGTTCCTTATTCGTAGATTTTTTTCTCAATGACAAACTTGCTGAAATGAAAGGTACTGAAATACGTTAAGCATGATATTGAAATACACTAAACATCAAAAACTCAATTTAAATTCGCATGTTATTCATCTCATCAAACACGGCTGATCGAAAACGGGAGGGCAACCGGGCACCTCAGGAGCCGCAGCCAGCGCCCGTTGAGTCCGCGGAGGCCTGAAAACAACTCGTCGGAATCGAACGAAAGATCCAGGTTTGATGTGGCCAATTTGGCTCATTCCACAGCACTGGAAAGGTGGCGACCGAGAGCCCAGCCGCACCTGGAAAAGGTGGAAAGTTTGAAGCTGAGAAACACAACACATGGAAGATGGCAAGTCCTTTGCCTTGAGCTCATATGCTTCGAAATTTGGGTCTCCAAAAATTTATCATATTGATCTTCAAAAACAACTTGAAATCCCGTTGTGGTCTGAGGAAAGGCCCTAAGGGCCCTTCCAAAGGTGTGCCCAAAGCGGCACCGGCTGAGGCATTGGTCGACGTTGATGTATGATATTTATAGGTTAGTTTTGAATCGCTGTAGACTCTAGACGTTTCATTGTTTTGTGGTGATCGTTTCAGGAAATAGCAAGCCACATTTCATTGGACAGATCTGACCTTGAGCTGTTTGAGAGGCCTCTCTGCAACTGAACTTGAACGTAGAAAGGCCACGTACTTAGCCCGAAACTCCCGGAAACAGACTTGAGTTGAGAGCATCATTATCTTCATCTTCCGCACCAAGATTCCATAGATTGGGGATAATTGATGATAATTGGGGTATACCGGTATACCCCATTGTTGGACAACGTAGCACGAAAGAAAAGAAATCTGGAAGGCATTGCTTTGTTCGTTTTGGAATCATAGATAAGCTAGTCTTAGTCTTAGTCTAGTGAAATGATTTGTGAAGGAGGCTACTTAAAAAGACCGATCGTCCAGACACCCAGCCATTTAGATTCTAGATGGTGTTTTTTTTGGCCAAGGGCCATCCTTCTTTTCCGAAGGTCTGCGGTGAAATTCGCAGATGCACCTCTCGATGAACCAGATTTGTCCCCATCAATGTGCCTTGGACTTGTCTCATATTGTCTTTGTACCGAGACCCTCCAAGTACTCACAAAAATTGTGTTTCACCTCATAGTTTTAGTATTTAATTATAGTATTTTAAGATAGTTCAACTATCTTAACAGTTTTTTGGTGGTATTTCGGTATTTGGGGGATCTAGGTAGTAGTTTCATACTGATAGAAGCTTCTCCCCGTGGAGGAACATCCTGGGGGAAGTTGACCAAATCTGGAGAACAGTTAGCCTCCAGCATTCTGAAACGTGGCAATGGGAATTTACAGATCCTTTTCCCATTAAAACCAATTAAAACCTCCATTCATGGTGGGTTATCGCCACGTTTCATGACCAGAGGACAAGAATTGGATATTCATTACACGTCGGTTTATCAATTAATAGTCCATCAAATTGTCAATTGTCCATTTAATGGGATGGAATACAGTCTTCCCTTTCCAAGTCCATGACTTTTTTGAGAAACTGACATAAACTGGCCATCTTGAAACCAGCCATCCCTGGCCTCTCCTGCGAGGTCTAGCTCTCAACAGTCACCGACCTCCCGAGGTTGCAGATGGAGTTTTTGACATTTAGTGAGTGATAGTTTGGATGATATTTCGATATATTTAGTATTATTGGTCAATAATACTAAATATCATTTATTTGGTGATATTCAATGATATTTAGTATTATTTAGTGATGTTTGGATGTGATCACATTCCATCTGGAAACATAGTTGATGCAAACATATTTGGCAAAACCTGTATTCACGGATGGATTTGGTTCAGAAGAAAGTGGTTTCTTGCAAGAAGACCTGGTTTCTGGCATGTCTAAGTGTGCATGTGTCCGCAGGGCTGGCTGGTAGGCCAACTTAGCATTTTCATGCATCCTGAAGATAGCACGTGAATATGCATCATATAGATGATACATACTTGGCCATCCCATTTGTGGATCATTCATATGACTCCATGAAAAACCAGGATTTTTCATGAATTTTCATGAATATTATCCCTGAATATAGATGGAATATCCATGGAAAACCATGACATATCCGACAATGTTGTCCACTATGGCCTCTGGAATTCTGAAACACCACCAGACTCCAGGCTCAATGGCGGGTGACTTGCCTGCAGGCTCACGACCACGCAGGTGCACGTAGAGTCATCGTGGTTTTCGAATGTTACTGTAATCTTACAATTGATTTTTTTCATTGATGGATATATATGATAATGTACTGTATGTGTCTCTATTGTTGGTTTTTATTGTGTCTCTATTGTTTTTCGATGGTTTCTCTATTGCTTGTTGATTGTGGATGAATCCCAGATGCGGGGCTGCGCAGGCGCCAACTGTCTCATCTACATCGACATAGCAGTGTCCTTGACAATGGGCCATAGGACAGCGGATGACAGTGCTACGACTTATGGCCATCTATGGGGGTAAAGTTGAGAAAAGGGGTTTTCTTTTCAGTGTTGCGGCCTCGGTTCGTAGATGTTTGTGGTGACATTTTGTAGCCGAAGGCGCATTATAACCATGGAATGATTTCTAGCCTTAGCGCAAGATAGTCAAGGTGAATGTCAAGACAAGAGCTGAGGCCATGTTGGGTGTCAACAAGATAAGCGTCTAGAAACTCAAGAGCAAATGCAGCACGTGCTTAGAAAACTGCAGAACCAACAGGGTTGTGCCCCCCATTTATAAGTTGGTTTATAATCCACTTTGACTATAAACTATAGTTAAGTTATATCCCCACAAACCCATTTTGAAGCGGGCCAATTCGATCTGTCCGCTACTTCGGTTCAAGCTGCTTTGAAGAGATCCAGGGCTAACCAGGCGCATCATTGACAGGGGTCCAAATTGTTTGGTGATTTGTTGTTTCAAAATCGGTTGCCCGACAGCTGGCAATCAGCATACTGGTGGCCTAGGTGAACTTTGGGATTTCTGAGGAAAACAGATGAAAACATGTCAGCCAGGATGAGCCTTGCGTTGCCGAAGGATTTTCCAAGTCAGAAGTCATTTTTTTATTTACCTGATGACCTTGTCTCAAGTTGGTGAACCAATATAATCAATATAACTCACTCAGAGGTATATATTATAATATATGTATAATAATGATCATATTCGTGCCATCACATTTCAACAACCATGACGAGGCCCCTTTGGAGTCACCCCAAACTGGGCGCCTACTATGGCGCGGGGGAAGAGCTTTGGTCTCTTGACAGCGGATGGAAGCCCAACTCGTTGATGATTTTGTGTGGGGATTCCCCGACTTGTCCAAGCCTTGATTTTGCTCACCATAGTATAAACATTAGTATAAACGAAGGATGGCTTGGTTGTTTGCACCTATTGAACAAAAAAAATCATCTTGTAATATATGGCTGACCTGGTCGCACACTCTGGAGATGTTACCCCTGAGTGCCTTGAGGATGTTCAGACCTTGGATAAAGAATTGTTTTGTAGTTTCACCACATAAACAAGTTCGCCGGGCGAGATTGCCAACCGACTACCCTCTGGTAATTTAACATAGCTATTGAAAATGGCCAACATATAGTTGATGTACCCATTATATAAGAAATGATGATTTTCCATATATAGTTTTTGTAAGTTTACCAGAGGGTATCTCATTGATCACCTACTGTAGTTGAATCAAAGGATCCTGGGTCCTTTGATAATCACCAGCCAATAGCCTTCAGAGCCCCTGAGGTGTTGGACTTTGTCTCATGGCATGTCTTTGGAGGTTTGGAGCTTTAGGTGCAGAAAGGGGGTTTGGAGCTTTGGGTTGACCCGAAAATCTCATCATTTTCTGACTAAACAACGTGTTTCTTGGTATTTTGGACCAACCCAGCTACTTTTTGCGGGGGATTCTTGGTCATCAAGCGCCAAGGGGATCCAAACGGGTTCCAAGGGCAGCCATGCCGCCCCAGGCTATCTATCCGTCTCAACGGCCAGATCCTCCGTCGCCCGCCGGGCCGGAGACGATTTCGACTTTGGCGACACGCCCTCGCCGGCGCCAAAGACTGCCAGCAAGGCAGGGCAGATTGGATTCAGCTTGGGATGAGAAAACTGCTACATCTGAGACGTGGAGTTGACTTAGTTGGAGCTAGCACAGCTCTAATTCTTGATTTGGGGAAGTTCCACTTTTGACATGCAGATTGTGCATTGGATTGCATTTGTGGTGCAAAATTCTCCACACGTGCGAAAATTGTGGACATTTTCTGTCGAGCTTCTTTGTTTTGCATGCCCTGCAGACTATGTCAAGTAGCTTGGCTTGCATTGGAGTGCTCGCACATCGCTGTGGCACTGCGCTATTCAAAGTGGCTCTCTGCCGGGAAGAAGCGATGCTTGTTGGGGAAGTATCATCCTATATCATCCTGAAAGTCCAGTGACTCATGAAACCTCATTTAACCTACCAGAATCATCACAATTCCATCCACAATTCACAATTAACCAAAAATGAGGCATTGGGATTTTCTGGGAACAACTATAAGGTAGGAGGACCTACGATGACGATGACGATGAGGACGACTATGATGATGAGGCAGGCATTGTCACAGCCTCTAGCAAAGAATTCAGAATTCCATGACTTCCAGTCATTTCAAACTGTCGAACTGATTGAATATGATTCAATAATTACTGATATTATACTGATGTGTCCTCCAAAAAACGATCTTGCGGCTAAAACCTGTTCTTTGCCATATACCATATGCAGGGTTCGTGTCGTCTCCTTGATAAGGTGGTCTCAAGATGTCTTGCTAGCCATGAAAACCTGGGTCCAAGCATTAATGTCGCAGCATAGGAATCCCCAAAAAGTTAGAATAATAATGAATTGAATATTGGATATTAATTTACCATAATTTACCACTAACCACTGTATTTTAGTAGGGCTTTACATTTCGATCTGTTTGATTCTTCTTGGCTTTCGGCTTTCGCATTGATCCGCAGTTGCGCCGGGACGAACCGGTGGACTCTGGAAGTGTCGCCACCATCGTGAGCTTCGCGCTACTTGCTGTGACGAGCCTCGGACAACGACCAATAACCTGGCGAGCAGAGCAGTCCGAGGCGCCAACCAACAAAATCGCAGTTGATCATGTTTTTTTGTTATATGGCTATGGATCAATACCTATTAATACCATTTTTAGTGGGATGAACATCCATTTACCAGCTATTTTGATGTTCACCAGGGGTACAAGGTTTTGACACACTGCCATATGAATGATTATGTTCCGTTCAAAGATTTTATCTCATTTTCAGGGTTTCGGGCTGAGCCTACATCCAATTTAATTTGAAAGTTGATCGATTCAACACTATCCCTCACGGCAGTTTTTTTTGGTTCCAAGGTTGCTAAAGCATATACGTATATATAACTGATTGTCCTGCTAAAGAATAGCACAAGTTTAGTCTTAGTTTAATCAATTTTATTTATGGCTGTGTGAAATGGAGTCGTGTTTTCGCGACAGTTTAGCGAAGGTAGTGGCGAAAGTGAAGCTGTCTTGAGAACCCCTTAGCCAATGCATTTCAAATGCCGTTTCCACGCAGTTTTATATCTTCCCAGGAAACAGAAACTGGATTATAATATATATTATATATAATATTTTATATATATCACCGCGAAAATTATGGCTGGAATTGGCGAGAGTTTAACGTACATGTTCGTTTCAGGATGAAGGAATCTTTGATCAAAGGCCCCCAAAAAAATTGGAAAGCCTTAAATCATCTCAAATTGTGAATTGAACATTGAACCATGATTCATAGACATTTCATGACATTTCCAGTGGAGAGTTCCGCAATTCGACTGCTGAGGGCGATCGGATTTCTGGTCTTCCAGGCGATATCCCGCAGGATCTTGTAGCTCAGAAGGCTTCATTGATTTATGGATGAAAATATGTAAATATATACAGATATAATATATCATTTGATATTGAAATATATTATAATTATTGAATTTTATATTAACGTTCATCATATTATATCATCATAGCATATCAAAGCCATATGTATATGTATATATGTATATATGTATATATGTATATATGCATATATGTACATATGTGTATATGTATCTATGTATATATGTGTGTAAATGTATATATATATGTATATGTATATATGTGTGTATATGTATATATGTGTGTATATGTATATATGTATATATGTGTATATGTGTATATGTATATATATGTATATATGTATATATGTATGTATATATGTATATATATATATATGTATATATATATATGGATATATATATATACATCTGTATATATGTATATATGTATATATGTATATGTATGTATGTATGTATATATGTATATATGCGTGTATATGTATGTATATATATGTATATATATATATATGTATATGTATATATGTATATATGTAAAAATGTATATATGTATATATGTATAAATGTATATATGTATATGCATGTATGTATATATGTATATATGTAAATATGAATATATGTACATATATATATATATGTATGTGTATATATATATATATATATGTATAGATATGTATAGATATGTATGGATATGTATAGATATGTATAGATATGTATAGATATGTATAGATATGTATGTATATGTATAGATATGTATAGATGTTTGTATATATATATGTATCTATATATATACATTCAAAGGGAAAAACATTATATATGATAGTGATCGCAGACAGTGATGATGTTCCTGATTTTCTTTGCACAGAATGGGGATCCTGGGGTGTTGCTATGGCGCCAGGTGAATCAGCTACTTGGAAGCGTCTGGCGGACAGAGGGAGACAGCAATTCTTGACGCGAATTTCATGACCGTATGATTCATAGTACCTTATAATCATTACAATCCTTACATGCCTGATGAATTATGAATAGTATGAATTCTTGATGCTGTGGTTATAGTTGATGTATTTTGACAATGTGTAGGTGTATCAGAAGCATTCAAGTGACCTGAGGCGATGTGCAAAGACTTCAATTTTCCCCAAGCACTTCTCTATGCGTCTTGAGGCAAAATGCGGCATTCTCTGGGAGCAACGACTCCCCTCAGATCAAAAAGGTTCAGGCGGGACGGGCCCAACATGGCCCAACCGCCACAGTATGTCATTTACATTACAGTACAGTAGATTCAGATTGCATGCAAATATAGATAATACAGACCATCTGTATGACATTAGTATCGAAAGGAGATGGAGACACTCAAGCGCAGGAGTCTAGACTTGACGTCTTACATAAACAGCAAATGTACAGGCAGCTGCTTAGAAAATACATACGGCCATGGTTTCTGCCAGTTACACCTTTCGCCATATCGACAAGAACCACAGTTGGATGGGTAGGACATGGGTAGGACATGTAGAGTCTTTTGATATCTGTATTTTTATCCCCAAACAAAATAAACAAAATATTCTAAACGAAAACGGGTTTTGGGAAGTTACATTCATGATTGAAAAATTATTGAAAGTCTACCAGCCCGCATCATTTGTGCACAGCAGAGGCCGTGTTTGACACGTACTATGCAGAAGGTGAGACCGTGCAGTAGCGGATTGGTTGCTGAGTGCCCCTCACGTGGGTGCTGGGACAGTCGGACATCGAGTGAATCCTTTCAAGGAGCAGTGCGACGAAAAAGAGTCGTAAGCGCTGCGGCCAAATAGTTTATTTACAAAATGGTTGTGATGGTTCGAAAGGCCACAAGATGGGAATGCCGCCATCGAAAAAAGACGAAAGTAAGTTGTATCAGTCAGCTCAAGTCTAATTATCTAACCTATAGTCTGTAATTCTGACTTTTCGTGGCAAGTCCCTGTAGGGTTTTCACCAGGCCTGAAAGTGGCCCCAGCACCGGCGAGGTCCAGTGCTGTTGGCTTGGTCTATTTTCAATGGGACGGCTTTTTAGTGGCCACCACTTTCAGACTTCGCGCCGAAAATCTCGCTCATCCGCTGGGAAGTTGAAGTTGATGCCGACCATTGGCAAAGCACATACCGCGGGTTGATCTATGTTGATCTGAGAATTAGGGCACCCATGGGCCCAAAAAACACTATAAAATGTGGTTAAAGCAACAATAAACTACCCATTTGGGAAGGGTTTATACCACCTATCCATGGTGATTTGGGGGATGGTTTAGGGCATTGTTTTACCCGCATTAACCACTTTTTCGTGCGAGCCGTTTGAGGAGAGATAACCGGCTTCCCTTTGGGAAGCACGTCGTGGTTTGCGAGGCGCGAAAAGAATCGGTGTTGATTCAGCAAGTTTGGTGACTGATGTGGGAAACACAATATAGAAGCAAAACAAAGACAACAAGAATTATCTAAATGCCATAACCATCCTCAATTTTGACAAATGATTGGTATGACATATTGAACAGAACCCATCCGCAATTGGAGGCTTCATCCGCAACTGGACAGGTGATTGAAGATCCAAAGTGATGCACCAACGGCGATCCACAAGGTTTTCACGCCGCTGTCGTGATTTGTAAACGCTGCGTTTTCGAGCTTGACTTGGTACTTACAGTGAAGTAAAGTAGTGCATTTTTTCAATCAACATAATCAACTGACTGATCCATGCCCTCTCTCGGGGTTGTGAAATTGGCATGTAGGATATGCAAATCACCTTGTCAGAAGTCCAAATCAAGCAGTTCATGGGACATGTGAATGACATGCGGCATCCAGTTGCTACATGCGGATCTTGGCAGACGTTTGTCTTTATTGATCTTGGAATCATTTGGAATCTCATCCCAAATCACCTCAGATTTGGCTCATTGGGTTTCAACAGTTTTTGGGAAGATCGAGTTGAGCTGCCATTCACATCCATTCACATGGAGCAATACGCTTTCGAAGTCTCTTGGCTTCGGCTAACGCTTCTCGATTTCGAGGAATTGCTTGAAAATTCCGTGTGGTCAACTGTGATGAGGATTATCACTAACGGCAGAGTGAAGATTTTGGGAAACAGTGCAGGGCGGGATAGGGCGGACAGGAAGCATCCCATATCCCAGATCCTACCTGTCTCATCTGTTTGGCTCAAGCAAGACATCCTTGCAAGTAGAGCGTTTGGATGACTCAGAACATGCAAGGTCGAGCATATGCTGAGGTATTTATGAGCTGAATCTGAACCAAGATACAACTTACAATAATTTGCAGCAAGTCATCCGGTTTCTCAACCTCCAAGAGTGGAGAGAAACTGTTGCCACTGGCGTTACATTGGTTTACTCGACCAGTCCGGCAAAGATCAGCATCATTCAGCATCTTTGCCTTCATCATCGTCACTCCAACCAGCTTGGCACCTGGATTGGTTGGATCAATTTTTCAGTTGAAGCTCCCATGACCTTCGACCGTCATGTGGCTTTTTATGTGGCTATAAGGTGATAATATGGATCAGCCTTGGTCGCAGGTGGGGAATGAAGCTTGGCAGCTTGGGACTTGTTTTTCATACATGGAGCAACATTTTTTTTGTGGTAAAGCCAATAGTCTGAACAATCCCAATGACCAAACATTTGGGGGAGATCATCCATTTTTTCATCCCAAATAGATCAATTTTTGTCGTGGAATAAGTCCAGAATAAACCTCTATAAAGGGGAGGTAATAAATCATTGGGTTTACCACATTAGTGTGTTCTATTGTTTTCGGTAATATTACAGATTACAGTGATGAAATAGAATGTTGCAGATAGGCATATGATTTATCATATTTTATCATATAATGCATGACTTCAACACGTCGGACATTGATGGAAATTGTAAACTGGTAAACCCAACAATGTTACACATACCAGCAGGCCGTATCCCATGAATCCAATTGCAAGAAACCACCAAGATTCCATCATATTATTTTATGTTATCATTATGAGTATTATCACAATGTTTAAAACGATACCATTATTATGATACCATTTGCAACTGGTATTATATATATCATTTTGTTATATATCATTTTTAGATACCATTGCCGCCATTGCCATCCATCATAGCAACATTTCAACATCTTGTCCTCTACCAATTACAACGAGTTGGGTCAATCCCAAGCATCCGATTGAGTTGGTCACATCGGAAACCATGCTTTGAACACCACCCCGAAAAACTGGGGGCTTCCGGTAGAGTTACTCCAATTCCGAAATACCCACCCATCTGGTAAGCCATGGAAAATTGTTCATTAAATCGACCATTTACCTGTATGAAATGGTGTTTTCTTCATAGCACACTGTTAAATTACCATAGTTAAGTCAATGTTAAGTCACAACTTTCCTATACTTTCTCTAGTTAAATAATGTTAAATCCCTATTCAAATTACCAGAGCGTACCAACTATCCCGATTCCGCTGACGGAACGCAGGATGCCACCAATATTGGGACGTGGGGTGCTCGGAACTTCGAAGGGAGAGGAGTTGGGGTCCTGGTGGAATGGCAGAACAAGGCGCGCGGGAGGGACTGCGGATGCCATGGTGATGCCAACGTGAGAAATATCCGCAAAATACATGGCAGTTTCGTGGGAAAATATTGTAAGATAGATTCTGATAGATATCCAGATAAATTAGATTGGATTGGATTGGATTAGTAGATGTGTAGATATTACTTATTACATACCTCTTTTAAAAATATGGAAAAACGTAGGGTTAGTGGACATGTTCAAGAATGCATGACCGTCGCATGATACATATGATACATAGTGCTTTTCACTCCCATGTTACATGGGGGTTTCCTGCAAAGTCTCCAACCAGTTCTAGAATTCCATGCGAAGCTGGGATGGCAGATCCAGTGGGCCCAGGGCTTTCATTCCTTTGGATGGCTTTCTCCCATTCACCTTCCGCAAGAGAGGACAGTCCATGGGATCCCGTTGGATCCCCATTGGACGCCGGATGCGGGATTCCGCATGTGGAAACAATCATGGCTTTCGCTATAAACTGTTGTTGAATGTTGTTGATTTGTGGTTTTGGGCATGATTCGCGTTTTGCGTGGTTCTTTTGGCCAGGAATATCCGCAGCAGTCTCCATGGTGGTGACATCTATGTTCACTGCAACGACATCAAGGTGCGGTCTTAGAGCCATGGCATTCACAAATCCATTCACTTCACTCTGACATACTCTGACATACTCGCTTGATTCGTCACACCCATGCGCATCATGCTGAGCTCTCCTGCCGGCGCAAAATGGAGGCGAGATTGCTCCACCCTTGTCATATAGTTGTTCAATGTTGTTCATCATGCCATTTCCAGTACTTCGCCTCCATTGCTCAGTTGTGACTGCAACCAGCATCCATTCGCCGCAGCAGGAGCCTCGCTTGGGTGGCATCTTCACCTTTGTCTTGTACAATGATCGGCAGGGCTTTGGTGCACAGGCCAGGGACGATAGGATGGATGGAGATGGTCAGCCGTTGGCCCAGGCCTGATGTGAAAAGTGGAGATGTTGATCCCCAGCATCGACTGGTAGACTGATGATTTGTTCGATGTCAAAAAAAAAGGTATCCGCACAAGATTGCAAGAGTAAACTTTCTCCTTGTAGGCACTGCCGATGGTAACATAGCTATGCATGCTGTGGAAAATCACAATGTTTAAGCATCAATATCATCATAAATCATCATAAATCATCGTATATCATCGTAAATCACCTATAAATGGTCCATTTTCCATAGATATATATAGCTATGCTATGTTCAATTAGCAGACGCTACAGTCGCATAGTCACACCCCTTCCAGATCTTCCAGGACTGCGAAGCGCGGTCAGTCATCAGGCGGGACACTCGGGGGAACGAAGATGCTACTGGGACCAGTTGTAATGATAATAATGGGAACAACACCACGAGTAAAACACTATAGTGAGAATAGTGGCAAGGATGAGGATGAGGATGAGGATGAGGATGAGGGTGGGGATGATGATGATGATGATGACGACGACGACGACGACGACGGCGACAACGATGATGAGGACGAGGATGAGGGTTTGGGTGAGGATCAGGGTCAGCATGGTCATGGCGACAACTTGCTTTGGTGCCGCAAAAACTGCCTGGGTCAAGGTTTGCCATCCCTACAACGTCCATGAGCAGTTTGCGATTGCCTGCCGGAGAGGTGCGCAGCCTGCGCAGCTCTTTGGGGAGATGGACGGTGCGTTGAAATATTCCATGCCCATCCATGTCCCGTTTCTACTTTTGATGGTGCCCACCCCATTTGAAATAGCCCCAGAATAGGTTGAGAACAGAAATTAGTACTGATTTCATATACTGTCAATGTGCAGACATGTGGTTCAAGTTGTATGACATATGACATGTACTTGCAAGCTGTAGATATTGATTGTACAACATGCTGAATCAAGATGGACTATTTCTCGCCCAGCTATGATCAACATGAGACTCTCCAGAATAGGGTATATCCAATGATATGTCTCAGAAGTTCTCTTTTATGGTGAACATTAAATTATGATAGGCCTTGATGTGTTTTGGGGAAAAAAACATGTGCAAAAACGGATGTGGTTTGATCAACCAGTGCCCAAAGTGAACCCAAAAGAGAGCACCAGGAGAGACCTGCCAAGAGCCACTTGCGCCAGTCACTCTTCTACCCGCAGATGGAGGACCTTTGGATGAGTTTCCCAGCCCGTTTATCTCTTTTTTTGGATTGCAGTCAGGCATGTTCAGGTATTGAGTCTACCCAAAGACCGCACTGCGTTGTCTATTTTAAGTTTGCAGTTGGAGTGTGCTGTCAGAGTTCTTTGATCATTTTGATCACATGTTCCCTTGCTGTCAGGTAGTTTGACATGTGCTTTCCAAAATGGCCTCAAGGAAAAGGATGCTGGGAGATCGGTAAAAATGTAGCCTTCGAAGATGGTGACGTTTTCCCTGGAATCTTGGACATCAACCCAGCCGGACCCAGCCCCTCCAGGAGCAGGGCATTACTTTGAGGAGGTCAGATCGATGATCCCTGGGATGGAAAAGCAAATCCCGTGGTCCCATGGTTGAGGGAAAAAACATGTTCCCTATACGGCCTATACATCCCAATATTATATTTATATATTATATATAATATGTATATATATATATATAATATGTATATATATAATTATATATATAATTATATATATATAATATAACAAAAAAACAAATAGCATTTTTCCGACACATCAATTGGGTGATGTTGGATTTTGGGTAATGACTGGTTCCTGGCGACTCAGCTTGTGGAACTATCGACTCAGCCTGGCGGCCAGTGGAACTCGTCTTGGTGGGCCAGGTATCTCTGGGAGGACTCATTGCAGATATTGGAGCTCTGGGGCCATCCGGAGGTCGGGAAACATGCGTGGATCTGTAGCAGCGGTTGGAAGCTGTTGGGAAGACCATCTCCGAAATGACCTGCGAAATGGTGGTAGTTGTTGATGGTATTGGCTTTATCACATGACTTGATGTGCCTACAAATCACTGACTTGAATCACCTGCGGAAAATGGAGACATATTGGAGACATATACTGGGACCAAGTTTTTGCACTTCCGCTAGGTCACAATGTCTAGTGACTAGTGGTGGTTTCCAGTGTTAGTTGCCAGTGACAGATGACATTACAGGATGAAACATTATATAATAGCAACCACCAAAAAAGAGAAAAGTAAAAGGAGAGCTTTTTTGGGTGGGAATTATTTTTTTCCATTTTGGGCATTTTTTTTGATTTCTGTTTCCCTGCTTCTTTGCTTTTCTGCTTCTCTCTTTTCTGCTTTTCCCGCTTCTCTGCCTTTTTAATTCTTTGCTTCTCTGATTCTCCACTTTTCTGCTTCTCTGTTTCTTTGCTTCTTCGCTTCTTTGCTTCTCCTCTTTGCTGCCTCTCTGCTTCTCCGCTTTTCTGCTTTTCCAGCTTCTCTTCTTTCTGCTCTTCCCTGCTTCTTTGCTTACCTGCTTTTCTGCTTCTCTGAAACCACGCCCAAATAAACCCTAAAGTAAACCCCAACAAGATCCGAAACTAACCCTTAAAAAAAAACAGATAACCCCTAACTCCAAAACCAACCCTTAAAAAACTTAAAACCAAGCAAAACCCCTAAACTAACCCTAAAACTAACCCTAAATAAACCTTAGTTGCAAACTACCATGTTTCATGAACAGTTCGAGCACCAAAATGTTGCAAATTCCATTGCAAATGACAGGTTCGAACTCAAAAATGCTGCAAATACCCTTGAAACGGCAGCTTCTTTCAAATTTTACAAATTCCACCAAAATATTGCAGAATCTATGGAAAATGATGGGTTCCAACTCCAAAATGGTGCAAAGACAGTTGAAATGGCAGCTTCCAGCTCCAAAATGCTGCAAATAGCAAGAAAACGGGCAGAAAAGCAGATAAAAAAAAATCAAAACGGGAAAAACAAAAACATTCCCAAAACAATTCCAGACCCAAAGTAAAATATGTAAAATCAAGCGAAATGAGTGACCAATTACCATTCAATCTTAAAAAGGGGTTCCGTAATATGTGAAACAATCAAACTCCCTCAAGTTGCCGAGTTGCCTCAAGTCGCAACTCAGAAATCCCTCTGTTCCCATCTTGGGAGGCCATCATCACAGCTGCTGATGATCTGAATCTGTTGCAGACGGAAGTGGAGGTGCTTTTGTCTCCCCAGATGGCCAGAAGGCGCCTTGCTGATCGAAGATATCTCATAGGGCCGCTCTCCAATGCAGGGTGAGAATGAGTTCCCTTCCAATGCTGTTTTTTTGTGGAAAAGAATAAACTATGGCTATGTAACAACCTAAGACTTAAACTGAGTCAGCAGAAACTGACTTGCAAGACAGGACGCTACTTCGTGTTGCAGCATGTGCAAGACTCCACACTCCGATATAATTTGTGCATGTTCGCAATTTTTGGGCATGGAGCCTTTGAAAAGCCTTTGAGCCCAGAACTCACTGGAACTAGTGGTGTCACAGAATATGTAGCAACTACTACCGTGTTTTGTACCGTACGACATGTGTCCGTTTTGTTCAAGAACTCACATGACAACTTTAGGCAAATTCATTGCTTTCTGGCCCTTTCGCCATGACACGTATGACTCGTCGATTTGGCTTGCTGGTGGCCGTACCGTTGACCGCGGTCCATGTGAATTTTCTTCCCACTCTGCGCCGCTCGTCGTCGGTTGCACGCCCCGTCTTCGGCCGGAAGGCCTCGGCCAAGTCGTCCGGGGCCCCCGCGGCGCCCACCACCGGAAGCCGACGGTCCTTGAGCGGCCGCTACAAGGAGAAGCTGAAGCCGCTGGAGAAGGAAACTGCTGGGAGGTTTGTGGATACCCACTGTCATCTGGATAAGGTCATCCCACGACTCTCGAGACAAAGCCATGAGGACTGGACTGGAGCTTGGTGATGGAGGGAACACGTGGCAATGCCCTCAGTTTCAACCAGTTAATCGAAGTTCAACATATTGTAAACATGTTCAAATTAAACATGTTGCTATTCAAGTGCTTGGGTCTTATTGGCAGCCCGGTGATGTACATGTTTCCTGTAATGGGCTTGTGAATGACACCCGCCAAGAATAGGTTTCCTCGAAGACCCAACGATGGCACAGCATGCGAGGATGCGAGAAGAGCAAAAGCAAAAGGCTTGGCGCCACCTCGGCAAATGAATGCAAGCTACAAGGACGGGTCTTCTGACTGACACACTCCAAGCGATCATTTGAAAGCCTGGTAACGCATGTTGAGTACGTTATAACATTATTCATTATCACCCATGGTTGTAACCCATCATAGATTCTATATCCGCACTATATTTAATAGACATTAATATGATAGACATTAATAGACATTAATACACATTAATAGACATCAATAGACATTAATAGACATTAATAAGCATTAATAGACATTAATAGACATTAATAAGCATTAATAGACATTAATAAGCATTAATAGACATTAATAAGCATTAATAGACATTAATATGATAGACATTAATAAGCATTAATAGACATTAATAGACATTAATAGACATTAATAAGCATTAATAGACATTAATAGACATTAATAGACATTAATAGACATTAATAGACATTAATAAGCATTAATAAGCATTAATATATAGACATTAATAAGCATTAATAGACATTAATAAGCATTAATAGACATTAATAAGCATTAATAGATATTAATAGACATTAATAGACATTAATAAGCATTAATAGACATTAATAGACATTAATATGATAGACATTAATAAGCATTAATAGACATTAATAGACATTAATAGACATTAATAAGCATTAATAGACATTAATAAACATTAATAGACATTAATATGATAGACATTAATAAGCATTAATAGACATTAATAGACATTAATAGACATTAATAAGCATTAATAGACATTAATAAGCATTAATAGACATTAATAGACATTAATAAGCATTAATAGACATTAATAAGCATTAATAGACATTAATAGACATTAATAGACATTAATAAGCATTAATAGACATTAATAGACATTAATAGACATTAATATGATAGACATTAATAAGCATTCATAAGCATTAATAGACATTAATAGACATTAATAGACATTAATAGACATTAATAGACATTAATAAGAATTAATAGACATTAATAAGCATTAATAGACATTAATATGATAGACATTAATAAGCATTAATAGACATTAATAGACATTAATAGACATTAAAAAGCATTAATAGACATTAATAGACATTAATAGACATTAGTAAGCATTAATAGACATTAATAAGCATTAATAGACATTAATAGACATTAGCAGACATTAATAAGCATCAATAGACATTAATAAGCATTAATAGACATTAATAAGCATTAATAGACATTAATAGACATTAATAAGCATTAATAGACATTAATAAGCATTAATAGACATTAATAGACATTAATAGACATTAATAAACATTACTAGACATTAATAAACATTAATAGACATTAATATGATAGACATTAATAAGCATTCATAAGCATTAATAGACATTAATAGACATTAATAGACATTAATAAGCATTAATAGACATTAATAAGCATTAATAGACATTAATAGACATTAACAGACATTAATAAGCATCAATAGACATTAATAAGCTTTAATAGACATTAATAAGCATTATAATAGACATTGATAAGCATTAATAGACATTAATAGACATTAATAGACATTAATAGACATTAATAGACATTAATAGACATTAATAAGCATTAATAGACATTAATAGACATTAATAGACATTAATATGATAGACATTAATAGACATTAATAGACATTAATAAGCATTAATAGACATTAATAGACATTAATAGACATTAATAAACATTAATAAACATTAATAGACATTAATAGACATTAATAGACTATATGTGTTTTGTGAAGATGCTCTTAGAAGTGACAGCACCAGGAATGGCGTGACTCCTTGGAGGGATCGGAGAATGACTTGGAAGCGTGTGTCAACATCGGCTGTCAAAAGGCAGACCTGGAGCAAGCGGCATCCTTCTTGAAGTATGAGCCAAGGGCTGCAAATGACTACAGTATACTACAGTCAGTATGTCTGAAAAAATATTGAAACATGGGCTGTATCCAACGTAACTTATAAGTCAGTATGATATTGATAATATGATAATACAATCGATCATTATTAGCTTAGTACCTTAACGTGACACTCAAACAACGATAAGGATTAGAACCGTGCTAAAAACAAACATATATCATCATACCAGTAATTCATCATATATCATTTTTCTATATTTTTCTTATGGTGTGTCCCCCCAAAGTGACTGTGTCAATGGGAAACAGGACATGTGAAGGAACCAGTCCATTGCTGGGCAGGCTACGATCATCCCATGAGCCGATTCAGCATGGGATGAAAATTTCTGTCATGGAACCTGTGGAAATCATGAGTTTTGGTCATTCTTTGTCATGGTAACCATCCAATTCTGGGACTTTTGACCCATAGATGGACCACAATTCATAAAATTTGATAAAATTTGCACATGAAAATTGTGACTAAGGATGGGATCTACGGTGCCTTTGGCATTCATCCCCTCCATGCGCACGACTGGGATGATGAGGCATCAGTATCATCTATAAATGGACTTCCAAAGCTATCTTGAATTGCCGGAGGTAACATTTGCATACATGTGCAAGTTTTGTATGTTTTATATACTGTTGTCATTTTATGTCATTTTGATCATTGTTAGTATAACACCAGAGAAAACGACATATGGCGATACAATTCTCTTGGATATGACATCTCTTGGTCCCAAAATTGTTTTGCCCGGATTTATGCGGATCATTTCGGTCATATAGATCCATATTGATGTACCGTTAAAACCTTCCAATTTTTTGGTGTTGGTATCCAGCTTCATGTCCCCCATGAGGTGGAGAAGAAGTTGCTGGCCATGATGACCATGCAGAAGGTTGTGGCCTGGGGTGAATGTGGTTTGGACTATTTCGACAAGAAGACGCGTGGACAGGCGCTGGATTTTTTAAAAAAAGTGTTGGACTCTGTTGGGGGATTCCCAGGTGTGAGTGTATCAATTGTATATTTGTAAATGAAATGCGTATGCACAAACAGATGGTGTCTACATAATCAATATAGCAAATAGAGATCTATATATTACACATGACATTTACTATATATATATAAATAAATAAATAAATATATATGCATACTATATGCATAGATAATATGTGACGGCAAACCATTTTTACTTGGAAACACCATATGAGCAAGCGTCAAAAGATGGTATGCGGAGATGTTATATTCGGCCGCCGTCACTTTCAAGAATGTGCGATTTCCTGCGGGGAGCGATAGGGGACCTTGAGGAGCGATGCCCCCTAAACCGATGACCATGGAACCAGTACCATGTTTAGACCGTCGCACATATAACTCTGTCGAAATTGATTCCTGATCCTCGAGGAGTTGGAATGCTGTCAAAATTCAGATATATTCAGATTCAATATTCTGTTCCACTGTGGATGCAACGCATTTTCCATGTTCATATGGCTCAATGTATTCAATGACTTTGAAGTTTTGTAGGCAAACGATTGTTCTAGGATGTTCTAGGCCTATGATTGTTGTTTCTTATTATTTGGTACCATAGATTTTCCGATGTTTAGCGGTTCATGGCGTTTCACACCTGGCAGGTGAAGGATCCGAAGTTGCGAGGCTTGCAGCGGAAGGTCTTCGCGAAACAAATGGACTTGGCGGTTTCTTTGAAGAAACCATTGGTGGTTCACACCAGATTTGCGGAAGAAGATACTTTGGAGCTGATGGAGAAACATTTGCCCACAGAGCATCCTGTACATGTACATTGTTTCACCAGCTCAAATACATTGGCGCAGGCTTTGTTGGAGCGTTTCTCCAGCCTGCGCCTTGGTTTTACTGGAGTTGTGACCTTCAAAAATGCACCCGAAGTTCAAGAAGTGGTTCGAAACACGCCACTTGAGCGTATCTTGCTTGAAACCGATAGTCCTTACATGGCACCTGAGCCCTTTCGTGGCCGCATTGCACATCCTGGTCACGTGTCATATGTGGCGGACAAAATCGCCAGTCTCAAAGGGGTGTCACGAGCCGAAGTCTTGGCCACGTGTCGGAAGAGTACCCGGCTGATCTATGGCATTTGAGACCAAAAGATGCAGAGATCTGCTGAGTTTCGACATTTTTTTTGTTTATTCTATCCTGAGGGTTAAATCATTTTAAATCTTGTTGAAACATGTTGAATTAGCATGAATTTGTATGAATTAGTAATGGTTTGGTTATGTTTGGTTGAATAATTACAGTAATAAAACAAAAGGTCCCAGATGGTCCCAGTATTTAATGCCCCCAGAGCCAGAGAGACAAGGTTTAGCCTCCTTCCAGGCAGCCCAAAGAGCTGCTGCGACAGTTGAGTGGCGACCTTGGAGTATCGAGATCAGTTGAATAGCTGGTTTGCTCTTTGGGAGCATGCCAAATCAAAAACCTTCAAGTAGATTTAAGATGATTTAGGTTTAGGTATAGTGTATCCCTAGAAAGTGAATGATGATGAATTACCCGTTGAAATGGCCATCCCAGTGTATAAATTATGTCAGTTTTGTCCCCACCCCTGCTAAAAATCGTGTTTTTTTCTCCCAACTCATGGTTGGTGTTGACCCATCTCCATTTGTCCCCATATCCCCCAATAAAAGTTGGTCAATTATGCCCAACATTTATTACTAGGGGATGTAATGAGACCAAAAAAATATGTCCTTGTACGTGTAGAAAATTGTAGACATAATATGAAATAATCCCAATATATTCCCCAATTCTATCCCGCTATAATATCCCAATATATATATATATATATACATCAACTATATCTCAAATACAATTATATGTATATCCCAACTATATCCCATTACAATGCAGAAATAACAAGGATTTCTCTTTCGAAACTGTGATGCACAGGTGCTGAAGAGGCTCCACATGTGCCCCCGAAATGCCGCTGGGCACGGTGCCACAGCGGACGACGAGGTTTCCATAGCCATGGGGGTACCCCACTAGCTGGATGGTTTATAATTTAATATAATTTATAATGCAAAAACCCAAGAAACAATTGATGATTTGGGGGTCCCCCCATGACTTAGGAAACCTCCAAATTGGTAGACATCGTGGGTGTTTTGGTTTTTCAGAGCGTGATTGTAATATAATGTAATCTATTACGATTTATAATCAATGGCTATATTATATATATGTATTGCTGTATTATGATGCACCAAAATTGGCAGACATAATGTTGATCCATTTTCCACGTGTTTGGATACACTATGGTTCACCAATTGATAGACCATTGGTGATGGCTCCGGAGTCCAGCTGGAGAACCTTCAGGCTACTCTCTTGTCCAGCGCTCCACGTCAGAGGCCTGGCTTGTTTTCCCGGGTTTTCCCAGGCAAAATGGGGGTCTACCTGAGCTACCCCAAAGTTTTGGCAATTTTGTATGGAAGATGTGGAAGATAATGGCTGATGTTTTTCTACTTTGTACCCTGTTTTCAGAGACTCCGAAAAATGAAGATGGTTGAGAAACGATCCTGCGATACCATGCAATAACCATTGCCATGTGTGTGTGTTATCAATTTTGATACAACTGTTTTTTTCGTATGGTACTGGGAATGGGGCCATCGATGGGGCCATTGGAAGCTTAATGGGATGGCCATAATGGGGCCATGGCCAGTGTGGGAAGTCCCATCGTGCCAGAGGTTTAAAGAAACACCACCAGGGGCAACACTGGGCTCAGGGAAAATCCCCAAATACTGGCACCAAAACGAGCCATTAAGACATGATTTCTGTTGATTGGTTTGGCAGATGCGGATTTTTTACCTAGGATTTAGATGGTTTATAGACAAGACAATTATCACCCCAAATGATGATCATTATGTAAATGTTATAAATATACAATTGGGGTGATACTATATGTTATAATAATAGTATCACCCCAATTATATATTATATTACCACCCCTTAAATATTATATATAATTGGCTAGCCAAGATCTTGGGGTCACAGGGAATAGCCATCTTCACTATGTCCAGGATGCTGGAGCTTCTAGATCTCTGAAGAAAAGTCGCCGCAGATGGGGATCGATGGGCACCGACCATGGACCGAACTCGAGGTTCGTTGATTTGTTGTTGATGTTATTGAAACTCATAGTCAATTAGGGGTAACTCACCCACTCTCAACATATTTGTCATAGTCATTCTCATGTTTTTAGACTTTAGACTCTAGGCTTTGTTGTGCACACTGTTCGGATTGGTTACACGCCCCCAAGTTGTCATGCTTTGGGTGGCTACATTCGTAATTCCCCATGTGCAGAGTTTGGCTGTTCCTATGGTGTTAGTTCAGTGTTCTTAGAATGTTCACAGTTGAATTTCCCAGGTGCCGTCCGTATTCAACTTGGACTGCCATGGATTTCGGCTCCCTGCAGAAACCTGAAGATTGGCTCTGCATTCAGCGACTTGCAGTCCAATTTTTTATCAACAAACCTACATTTTTATGGATGTAACTTGATGTAATTTCAGATTGATTGGCACACTTACTTATGTTGCCAATCCCATGTCCATGATGTTTGCCCTTGAAAAGGACGATACAGTATCGTTCTAAGTTCACAGCTGCTACTTGATCCTCTTGGCCTTCCCTGCACCATCTTCAGCAGTGTTGCCATGGCAGAAGGCGCTTACTGTAGCAGAGAGTCGGCATGGCTTGTGTATTCAATCTGAAAAGAGAAGACCTCTGCTATATAAATGTCATATGTGTATGTGTTTGTGTTAATGTTTGAAGCTGTTTCTTGCAGTCTTTGGGTAGCTCTATGGTTGAGAAAGGCAAGAGTCCAACTGCCACATTATATAGAAAATGATTTGCATTTGGATCCCCCGGCAGGTGCATGTTTGATCCCCCGACATAAAATCACCCACCAAAGTCGGGTTGCAGTTGGGCAGGCCACCCACAGAAGAACGTCTATTGCGATGGTATTTTCGACATGTGCCACATCGGACATCAAAACCTCTTCCGCAATGCATCCAAGCTTGGAACACATGTTTTTGTTGGAGTTGTCGGTGACAAGGATGCCAACAACTACAAGCGTCCACCAATCATGACGGCTGCAGAGAGAGAAGCTCAAGTTCTTGGATGCAAACATGTTGACAAAGTCATTTCGAATGCCTTATGTTTTGGCATGACAGAGGAGTTTTTGAAAGAGCACGATATCCATGTTTGTGCAGTCGGCCAAGAGTACTTCGATCGCTTCCCAAACCCAGACGATGATCCATACTACAAAGTTCCCAGAAAGCTGGGCATTGCTGTCCCCTTGCCTCGCTTTGACGGGCTGTCAACTTCTGAGTTGATTCGAAGAGCTTGCGAGAGAATGTCCCCAGACTGGAAAGCAACTGCCTTGACTGTGCCAACAGAATTGGCAGAGTCATCACACAGTAAGCTGTCTGATGACTACGAGACGAGAGAATTGCTGGACACTCCGCGGAAGAACGTCTATTGCGATGGTATTTTCGACATGTGCCACATCGGACATCAAAACCTCTTCCGCAATGCATCCAAGCTTGGAACGCATGTTTTTGTTGGAGTTGTCGGTGACAAGGATGCCAACAACTACAAGCGTCCACCAATCATGACGGCTGCAGAGAGAGAAGCTCAAGTTCTTGGATGCAAACATGTTGACAAAGTCATTTCGAATGCCTTATGTTTTGGCATGACAGAGGAGTTTTTGAAAGAGCACGATATCCATGTTTGTGCAGTCGGCCAAGAGTACTTCGATCGCTTCCCGAACCCAGACGATGATCCATACTACAAAGTTCCCAGAAAGCTGGGCATTGCTGTCCCCTTGCCTCGCTTTGACGGGCTGTCAACTTCTGAGTTGATTCAGAGGATCCAAGATAGGTTTCCTCTTGACCAAGAGGCAGGCAAGTGAGCTTGAAATGGCTTCGATTTCCTTCACTTATACTGTGCGTGTGTGTTTGGGTCCCCCTTGTTTGTTTTGACATGTTTTATGGTTCATGAGATGCATCCTGCACCCTCCAGGTTTTTCCTTTCTACCGTTCTGATTTGGCAGCTTCTTGCCTATCAAGCGGAATGGTTTTGATCAGTCGCACCAGAACGCGGCAGCAGTTAGGATTGGGGAGTCATCCGCAAACCAAACGGCCGAACTTTTCAGGTTGGTGAATTCTATGTTGGAAGAATCCAGGAGAGGGAGAAACTTTTGATCAGTCGCATAAACAAACTCAGTGTGGATTGCCAGGATATACCTTTCATATCCTTTCATGCCAAGATCATTCTGCTGGCTGACACCAAGTATAGTTTCTAGGTTGTGGAGCAACGTGCAATCCTGGGCCAAATTCTGATATTACATTATATTACAATATATTATAATATTTATAATATATTACAATCACCCTGTCCTAAACGATAAGTTCGGTAGGTGACTAGCATTGACTAGCTACATATGAACTTTCAACAATTCACAGGAAATGACAACGATATGACAATATACAACAGATTGATAGCTAGGATATAGCTAGGAAATGACAACCATATTTTGAATCTCTTCAATTTGACCCGAAACTGCGCGGATTTCGCCATGGCGGAGCCACATTTCTTTGGCGACGCGGACGTGACGCCCTTGGCCGCCGCGGCCTTGGCTGTCTGGCTGCTGATCTTCCTGTGGCGAAGTTGGAAGCTGCTGAGGCGCAATCCCGGCATGGGAAATAGGGTTTAATGGGATAACAAATATACCCTCTGGTTATTTAACATAGCCATGGAAAATCCCCATTTTTAATAGGTAAACCATCTATAAATGGGTCATTTTCCATAGCTATGTTAAATTACCAGAGGGTATATTTGTATAATTTTGTGTATATATATATAGAGTATATATTGGATCATGGGATAATCATAGGGAGTATATATAGAGATCATATTTATAGATTATGATGTTTGTAATGGGAACTATATATGGTTGTAACTGTGTAACTTAAAGGAATATAATTAACTGCTGAAATGGGATACTATTATTGATGCTATTATACCATTGATAATGGGATGATACTCTGAATCAGATAATGAGATAATTATGATTAGCTGCTAATATTTTTTAAATCTTTATATGACTTAATCCGACCTTCCTAATAGCAAACAGCCCGTTTGTATGGTCCCTAATAAGTGGATCCCTACATCCACCATGCTTGCCAGGGATCATGCGGGATGGTGGGATAATGGGTGATTTAACCAGCATAGATAGCCAACAATATGATCTTTGGATATATTTGGTGTGTCTGAACATGCCCTAAAATGCAATTTTATGTGGGAAATCAACAAACTTATCTCCCTTGACCTCCACACCATCAATATATGTGGGAAATGCCACTTATGTTATGTATCCCATTGTTCGACAAACTTATACACCAGCTAGTGTTGCCGGCTTTTTGAGTGACCAGGGTATCAGGGTACCCGTCGCCAAATCAAGGTGCAAACAGAAGAGAACCGCGTTTGTTGTATGGTGATTTCATAGGGGATTGGACCAGCCAGTTCATGGTGATCTAAAGGGATATGGTATATTATGTAGAGATAGAAACAGCATCAAACAGCATCAAACAGCATCAAACAGCATCAAATAGCATCAAACAGCATCAAACAGCATCAAACAGCATCAAACAGCATCAAACAGCATCAAACAGCATCAAACAGCATCAAACAGCATCAAACAGCATCAAACAGCATCAAACAGCATCAAACAGCATCAAACAGCATCAAACAGCATCAAACTGCATCAAACTGCATCAAACAGCATCAAACAACAATATGGGGATGAGTTAGTGGAAAAATGGGAGAGTGTTCCCTGAGATGGTAACGATTGGCAACCTCCATACTTCTAGGGGAAATTGTGATGGGATCTGGGGACGCCTAACCTGGCCGCAGGAAATCTCTACATTGCATCTGAACATCAATCCAAACTAAATGGACCAAAATGGAAGATCTTCCATTTGCAGATTACATTTTTGTAGCAATCCCACCTGAAAGACTTATTTGTTCCAACAAATATTCTACGTTGTTTGTTATACAACTCTGGCTAGCCTTGCATGATATTCCATTTGTTGGCATGATTCCAACTTCTAAGAGTCTTTATATCTCAAAGTATAGTATATTCATGTCAGTTCCATGACATCCACAGATTGGCATCCATGGGTGCTGATGGAGGACTGAAAAAAAAAACAACCATCACATACATGGCCATGAAGTGCACATAGTTCTGGACCAACTTGGGGGATGCTGTATCCTCAACCGTCGCTTAGAAAGTTGTTGTTTTCGTTTCGTAAGTTTGATCAACCACAGGCTGTGAACCTCAGGATCAACAAAGATTGCTCTCTGTCGTGTCGCTGACCTTGGCCAGCTTCGCATTCCAAGTAGCATGCAGTTCAAAAAGAAACGACGATAGATGATATGGCAAGAAAGATATGGGCACACCAGCCGGATGACTTCGGGGATCGATCGGATCGACGCTCAGCTTCCAAGTCATGTCACCAAATGAATCCAAATGAGCATGGGTCAAAGGCATGATTCCAATGAAATAGAGAGTCTCATCATGTGGCAGTGTGTCAAAACCTTGTACCCCTGGTGAACATCAAAATAGCTGGTAAATGGATGTTCATCCCACTAAAAATGGTATTAATAGGTATTGATCCATACCCATGTTCCTAATATGCAGCTAACCCCTCGTTTGGGGTTTAGGGTTTTGCATGCTGACCAGGCCTGCAAGCGCATGCAGTTCCTTGGCAGATCCAGGGTGTCGTGCGGTTCGTGGGGATCATCGTTCATCCAAAAAATTATATGTTCGGTTAATATTCACCACATTTGAGATTCATAATTGTTCAAGACTTATCACATATTCTCACATATACACATTATATATAATATATTGTATCATATATTCACCATATGTGAGGTTTTTTCCTAAACTTGGGGACAGCAAAAAACAACAAAGCAACACCCAAATGTGTTGTTGCGTTAACTCGGGACCGGGCAGGGATCTCCCAGGTGATGGCTTGGAGTATGCCTTGGCCTTACGCTCGGCAGCGGTCTACGTCCTGGGAATCTGCTCCGTTCCGCTGTTGTTTCCATGTCGAAGCGCGCCAGAGGTGCCCGTGCCCAAATCACGAGGTGGAGATGTTGGGTTCAATGGATTGGTTGAAAATGATGAGAATTCTGGAGATATGATGATATAATGCTGTTGATTAATGTAGTTATATCATGTTACATCATATTGATCCTATGCCTATACATGTTGGTTTGGGCAAAATCAGATGGTGTCCTGTGGTTTCCTTTTCTATTTCCTTCTCATAGCTTATGATCCCCTTCCCATGATTCCGGAGTTACTTCGGGAGCTGAGGAGCCTGTGAGTAGCTGGGCGACTTGCTCAAAAAGTCCATATAGCTTCATTCCAACGAAGCTTGGAGGCAGTAAGCTAGGTGTATTGGCAGAGCTTGCGTAGTGGCAAAAGTTGAAGAATGTGGGAGAAAAGCCATGTTTGATGTACCGAAGATCACAGATGTGCGAAGGCAGAGAAGTTCAGCTATGTTTGCTTGTATTTTAGTACACAACATCAGCCGTGCACAGAAAACTCTCTTTGGAAACCCAATGGTTTCCAAGACACAGGCACAGGTTTGGATGTAGGGGCCAATTTTCATAGTCTGTCTATCCAGGAATTTGATGCGTATCTTCCACATCCTGCCCTTTTGGACTCTTGTCCCAAAATGGTTTTCAGTGGGTGATGGGGGTATAGAACAGTCGGAAGTCAACTGTCCTTCTGGATATCGTATGATTTTGTTGACACCAATGCAAATCCTGCGGAGCAAGACAATGACAATAATGCAAAAACAGAACTTGCAGTATTCAACATGAAGTATCGGGGAATAGGAGTGGGGCATTATTCCTTGGTTAGGCATGAACTATCCAGTGTTGAGACCATTGCGGTGATTTTCGAGTGAGATGCAGCTCAACACTCCAAAAGTTCCGGGACAATCCGTACGGAAATGCACCTTTGCGTGCTGTCAATTTGAGTCCTGGGATAGTTACTGGGACATGCAGGTGCACACCAGTGCTGATGCTTTTGGCATTTTCACATGTTGAACAATCCATGGAATTTCCAAGGTATGCATTTCTGGTGACGCCATATCTGGGCGGCTTGGTGAAATCGATTTGCGATGCCATTCTTGGCGTCTCTTTAGGCCTTGTTGCGGTGAGCTACCTGGCAGAACAGTGGTTGAATCGGTCAAAAAAATCGAAAATGGAGATGTGCCCGAGGATCGGTGATTTTGAAGGGAACACAATGGAGTTTTTCTTCGTCGTTTTGGGATGTTTTGGGGTTCAATGATTCTTGTGAATTCTTTTGCAGCATTAGTCTAATCAGTCTAGATTTGTCCCTTGGTGGCTGCTGCAAGTATTAGATTGTTGCCGAGAGGAAACAAGTCATGAGTCTGGAACACTTGGGGCCAGTGTCCAATTTTGATATGTTTTAATTCTGAAGCTGCAGATATGCAGGACTTGGATACTGGCGCTTGAAACTCAAGACTTCAAAACCACTAGATCTACGTAGAGTTGCCATGTGCTGCCATGGTGCAGAAAATCAGCTGCAAAGAATCAGCCAAGGTTTTTTGAACCTGATGCTCCCTGGTGGAGCAGCTGGGCCTGAATATCTGACTTCAGACTACTTCGAGCGAGCCTGGTTGCCGTTTAGATGCTTGGCGTGCTCGGATAGATTGTTAAAGATGACATTGTTTGCCTTCAACATTCGAGACATTTTCGAGACTTTGTAAAGTTTGTCAAGAGGGGTTGTGGCTCAAAATGAATGGCACATATTGAACACGGTTAGTGGGTTTACTAGTGACCAAATCCAAGCGTCCTTTGGTACTCCTTCTTGAGCCCTGACCATGTCAGGATATAGCACGCCTGCTGCCTTTTTACTGGCCTTGTGTCTTACGTATGGCAACTTGGAAGCGGTGTGATTTTGCCCGGCGAGAGACATGAACGAACAGGATGGCTTGGATGTTTGATTCCAAAGAGTTTCGACCCTTCATGTTTCATTAGCACTCATCACTAGCACTCATTGAACAGATTGAAGATTGAGAAAATTCGATCCCAGAATCCAATACTCTGTTGAAACCTACGAAGTGGTGAGAGATTCAAACTCGTCCAAACATTGCCATGGCCATGGTGATTTCCATTGAGGCCTCTTCGTAAGCAACTTGAGCGTTGCCAAGAAGCAGTATCTTGGATATTCTTGGATTTGATATCACATTATATCACTATATTATGACTATATTATGACTATAGTATGACTATAGTATGACTATATTCACATATATTCACTATGTTTTTCCCAGCTCTTAATCCACTAGAACTGGTTTTCATCTCTGGCTGGAGAAATCCACCGAAGTATGTCAAACTTCGCCAGCTCCCAGCGTCCCAGCAGCCCAGCTATCATCATAGGATTTCCCATGGATTTCCCATGGATTTCCCATGTTTTTGAGGACACAGAAAGATGGTACCCTCTGGTAAACATACAAAAAACTATGGAAAGATCCACCATGTTTAATGGGAAAATCCACTATAAATGGCCATTTTCAATAGCTATGTTAAATTACCAGAGGGTATAACTCTTGATGACTCCCCCCAGCCCCAAACACATCCAAGGTATGCCATGTGCATCTATTCTGAGTTGCTGGTGCCCTTTATGAGTCCACATACCCGAACGGGCTTCCGTGCCGTCGCCTGGCGGAAACAGTTGAGTGCCGGAGAAGAATTGTTCATATCCGTTAGTAATGTTATTGTCCCGTTACTATACTATTGATGTCCGTTCATATCCATTCATATCCATTGATATCCATTCATATCCATTGATATCCATTGATATACTTCCCGCCGGGTTGGAAATGGGCCGAGTAAAAACAGCATTTTCATGTGACTGGCAAGAATTCAATCATGCGTTTCGCAGTGTTTCTTCATGTTTTTATGTTGTCCATGAAGGTCAATTCTATTGTGATTTTGAATTTTCATTGGGGTTTACTGTATATAGTTGACATGTTGGAGTGCGAAAAAGGTTCCTTTTGGGAAGTCAGCGTGCCCAAAACCTCAGCTGCAGCCATTTTTTCCGGTGATCTCTACATCTTCGCTAAGTACGCACCTGTTTTCTCCAACAGGGCTTTTCCAACTACATTTGCCTCCCATCGCCACTGCCATGTGCGAACGTACGTCCAAATGAGGTCTTTCAATTTTTGTTCGTTTTCTGGGCAAGATGTCAACTGATCGGGAACACTGGCTTTGATCATACGCCAGCACGAGTGGATGGTGCCAGTATGAACCCAGAAGGTTTTTCCAGCATGTCTGCGGATCTTTTTGATAAATTGGATTTTGCGATGTGAGTGCGCAAGTACATGAACGTTATTGCCCCACCCCACCCCAACCCACCCCACCCCAGCCCTGCGTGACGTGACACATCTTCAACGTAGCATGACGTATGTGCGCACGTGCAAGTGAACGTGCCGTGGCGTAACATCATGGGAGTGCGCAAGTACGTGAACGTTATTACCCCACCCCACCCCACCCCTGCGTGACGTGACACATCTTCAACGTAGCATGACGTATGTGCGCACGTGCAAGTGAACGTGCCGTGGCGTAACATCACGGTTGTGCGCAAGTACGTGAACGTTATTGCCCCACCCCAGCCCACCCCACCCCACCCCAAGGAACATATTTAAAAAATGCCTAAAACGCTCGGACGGTTTTCAACCCGTAAGCATATACTTCATATCCAAATCCCATTAAATTGAGACCATAGTATGGGAATTAACCATTAAATGGGCGGATATTATGGATATGATGACCTGGGGGGAAATGGGTGGGGCTCAAAATTCGTGATGCCTCGAAATGGGATTGTCAAGTACTAGACATGACCAAGCTGTTGCAGGTCGATTGGATCCCATGAGCCATTCCCAGTTCTGGTTTTACTGGGATGGGTTTCAATAGGATAGTTCACTCTTTGACCTGTTCTTATCTTTTCTTGGGATATGATCATCATATACATCATATACATCAAATTCTGACGATCCGATATGATTCAAGCTCTCAGCATGCTTTTTTAGCATCGCTTGAGCTCCGACTATGTCCGACTCATCTCATACCTGGATCCAGCTGGTTAAACTGATGAGCAGTTGGGGCCTGGGTATGTTGCCCAATATATGTGCTAAGGGGGTGGTTTGTCCCAGGGGATTCCCCCCAAAATGGCAGAACTTTCATGACTCCATGGGGAAAATGATCGAGGATTTTGTGGCTTCGCAATTCGCGGGTTCCAGTTTTGACATGGCCAGGTGTGCTGGGACTGGGATTTCCAGTGGAATTGGAACGGCTCCGCCATGTGCGGATTCTCGCTTTCAGCAAAGGGGGATGGGATGGGCCCAGAATTGATTGCAGTTTTGATGCGGGAAATGATGATAAACCTTGGGATTTGGGGGTATTTGGGGGATTTTGGGGGTACACATGTTCGTATTGTTTATATATATTCTGTATTCTAAGTCTATATGCCTGTTGCTTATGATGATTGGAGTTCCCCTGGTTAGAAACTATACAAACGTAGTCAACATGTGTAAATCTCGAATCCGTTCCTAGATCCTGCGTGTATCCAACTAACATCTAAAAAAAATAACAGAACTCCGCATATAGAAATCTCATGAAATCTCTATTGCCATTCTGTTTCTGCTATTGTTCTGGTTCAGTAATGATACCGGTTGGTATCCTGATTATACCCATTCCCCATTCAAAATCATCTGGCATAATCAGGATTTTGATACCAATTATCCAGATTTTTCTGATTTTGATACCAATTGTCCCATTGATATCCATTGATCATTATATCAACCAATGATCACTGCTAAGGATTTTGGTTGGTCTCCCTAGCAGTGCTGCTCTCCATCATTACTTTGGGGATGCTCCCGACCCGCCGTTCCATCGAGACGCACACGGCCAAATGGGCCTCTGCATTAGCCCTTGCCCAGCTGGCAGAGGCGTGCCGTGTTCAGCATCAATTGAACTCAGGATGATCCAGGGAAATGTTCGAGTTTATGATAGTTTATGATAGTTTATGTATGATTTATCTATATAGTTTTGTGTGACCTTTCGTTTGATAGATTTGATAGACTATGTATAGATGGATATTGATAGATACTCACAAAACAGTATTTCAACGGGGTATGTATCATGGGATCAAGATGATCGACCCTTCGATGGATGTGGATGATTAAACAAAAATGGTCAAACCCATCTATTGGTCAATGATCTAAGACTTTAAGATTTACCAAGAACTGGACACTACTGGTATTTTGATGTATTTTGGGTGCATTAGTATCCCACGTTTGACCCGCTCCCATGCAATTTAATTCTGCCTCTACGCAAATATTCTGTTGCAGTGGAATGCTCAGTGGGCACATAACCAAGTTATGCGCCCAATTGAAGCATGGATCATCGCCGGCAGGATACTGCGGGATGTTTGGAGTACTTGATGACCATCTTGCAGCAGGCCTGCGAATCTGAGATGTCTGAGAACAACGGAGATTCGCATGTCTTTGCGCGTTGCAATGTGTAAACAATTCCGGTTTGCTTAAGCCGCTTAGCCATTTGATCTGCTGTATACCTCTGATGCCGAAAGATGTAAGAACTCAAGTACTGCAATGTAATAAACCCAATCATAGACCATCACAGCAGCCGACCATTTTTTGATGTTTTACACGCATATGTAAATATGATTAAATATATATATATATACACAATCCTAATACCCAGTAATAAACCAAAGTTAATTAGGACGATTTATAGTTGGGTTTGCCCCATTACATAGATAGTTTGGCGAAAAAACTCCACTGGCAGGAAGCCTGGAAATTCCAATTTCACGCGGACAGCTCCAACTTTTACATCAAGTACCTTGGAGCCATTGGAGGCGTAGGGAAACAGGCTTGGGATTGGATTATCCCGTCCACCTAATATTGAAGCAGGGATTTGGAACTATGAATATCTATGACAACTTGACAACAGCAAGTCACAACAAGGCCAATCACCAATTAGAAAAAGTCATCAACCATTGGTTTTTTTTTTCCGCTTTTCCAGCGTGCCCTGTTTGATTACGGGTATCCCCATTTGTTTGCTGATATCCCACCTTAAAAATTCCGCTTAAAGTCATGGTTTCTTTCCGTTGGTTTTTTGTTAAATCACCACGAAAAATCAGCAGATTGTCCTGTCCCAAGGCATTTGGGTCTGCGGCGGACACGGGCAGAAGCCATTCTGGCTCTGACTCCCTGGGAACCCAAAGAGTCCAAGAATCTGACAAAGGTGGCGAGTTTTTTGAGGCGCCAGATGTGTCGAAACTGGGGAGATTTAGGGCCTCTGAGTCATGGGGGTACCCCGCAAATCATCCAAGTCATTGGACCATTTTAGGACACCTCCAGTTGATGCTGATTTGAGAGTGGTTGAATTCGGCTGAAGGAGCTTGTGAAAGATGTGAACATGACCGTATTATGTGCAGTGTAGATGTGCTTTTTCTAGAGGTTGAAAGATGCAGGAAGGGTCTTCTTTTGGGACAATTATAATGATACAATGCTAAGTATCGCGCAGACTGTCCATCCAATAATGTGAGGTACTTGTAAGATTGGCACCAACACAAGCAGTGTCAACATGCAACAGGCAGCTCAGACAGTTGCTTCGCATCCAGAGTGAGCAGATGCAACTCGTGCAAAGATGTTGGGCAACTCTTGTGGGAGTGTGACCTCCACACGTTTGGTGTCTCCGGATGTTTCCGGCAATAGAAAAAGACATCTCGAAATACCATCTGGGAAATGGCCCATTTATAGATGGTTTACCTATTAAAAATTGTGATTTTCCATGGCTATGTTAACTAACCAGAGGGTATATCTCAAATACGACCATACATTCATGGTCACTGATTCAGAGCAAAATCCACAGCACGCACTCGGAGATGTTTGCCACTGGGTTGCCACCTCAGACTTTTGTCTACTGGTATTTGGATGTCCACTGCTGTTCAATCTAAGAAAAACAAACAAACAAAAAGATACTGTAATGTGGGCAACCCAATAAACCTACCTACCATTTGGGGATGGTTTATTTATACCACAGATAGTGATTTTAGGATGGTCTCTTTATTGGGTTTACATGGGTTTACCACACGAATATATGCAAGGTTTTTGTGCTACCAGTTCGTGCAATGCAACCCTTCCCACAGCCCCTATGAGGCGATACTTCGGACAGTCCATGCCCAAGGGGAAGTGGCTTGGACTTGGACCCAAGCCTTCCCAAGACCTGTTCTTCTGCAAATTCTTGGGGCATTGAATCATTTTGGTTCTCAGAAACACAGAGAATGTCGTGAGTGTTTGTGTCTCTCCTTTCTTCAAGGTATACAGCCAACCCCTAGATTCAACCTCACACTCATGTTGGGTCCCTGGGTGGTTTTTATTTAGAAGCCCTCAATAAGTTCTTTATTATTCTTTATGATTGGGGGGTCAAACATAGATGAAAACTTCTAACAACTCCAGCTGAAGTTACCCCTCCCAGCTGAGTCCAATTTTAAGTGTTAGCCAGTGCTGGAAATCTGGGAACTCGAACATTAGATGGTTATGTTCCTATTATATATAATATAACCCTGGTTGGTGGTTTGGAACATGAATTTTATGACTTTCCATATATTCGGAATAATAACCCCAACTGACTCATATTTTTCAGAGGGGTTAAAACTACCAACCAGAACCACATTTCAGATCATGTGACGGTTTTAAACCCACTTGACCATCCCCAATACTCAATATATCTCAATATCACCGTGTGTACGTTGGGATTGAAATCATCCCGGGCTGGTTGGGTAGATCATGGTAGATCCAAAGAGAAGATACGACCAAAAAAAGACGAGATTTCTCGGGAAATGGCAGTGTGTCAAAACCTTGTACCCCTGTAGTTCACATCAAAATAGCTGGTAAATGGATGTTCATCCCACTAAAAATGGTATTAATAGGTATTGATCCATCCCCAAATCTCGCCTCAGGCAGTTGAAATTGGAAGATTTTCTCCTCGCTTGCAATGATGGCCTGTCTCTGGTCGCCCGTGACTGTCGCTCCAACGCAGACTTGACGGAGGCGCCAGAGATCCGATCCTGGAAATTTGATCGTTTTGAAAAAAACGTAGCAATTAAGATAGGAGCGGGGTATACCCACGACTAATTTTCAGTACTCACAACATTTTTTTAAAAAACCAATTAAGATTGTAGATGAATTGATAATAATTGATATCAGTTGATGAATCTACTCAACCGGGAAAAAAGGTGGACTGATGAAGACTGAAGCTGAAAAACCTTTGGAGCCCACTTTCTCCATCGTTCTCCATGCTCCAGGAGACGTGTGAAGAGCTGAAGCGCATCGCAGAGAAAGCGGATGAGATTTTGATCCAGACATTGCGGGACATCGAGGACGATCAGATGCTCCTTGGATGCGTCCAGACATGTCCAGACTGAGGCTGCTGGCGCTCATGATTTGCAAGTTCAATCTTCAAGAATCACCAAAGAGTGTTTGGGTATCCCATTTTTCGGGGACAGAATATATGATATTTATATATTATATCATTATAGTTCCGGAATATACTCCTAAGAATGGCTAGTTTGATAAGAAAGAATCGACTTGAATTTAGTGGATCCAAACAGGTGCTTGTCCCAAAATAGGGAACCTTATTCCAAGCAGTCGTTGACCATGATGTTCTCCGTTAGGAGGTCATACATTACTACCTCGTAAGTTATATTCCGTTACTACCCCGTAGATTTTGCATCCCCATGAACTCGTTGGTTTTATCCCCCCATTCAAATGGAGTTGTTTTTAGTAAGCACCAATATCATACCATGTCATAGTGTTTGTATATCCCAAGTGTAACCCCTTTGTGGTCAAAAAACTCTCTAACTTATCATTATGGTTTACCTATCAGAAATTCCCAAGGAACTAGCCATCTGTATCTCCCTGAATATCAACTCCTTGATCCAAGCATGAGATCCGACCATCCGAAATTTCAGAATATCCCTATTTCATTCCCCATAAACAGGTTGATCAATGTTGATCAATCATAAACTGTTTGAGTTATCATTGAGTTATCATTAATCATGACATATCATTATTCCCATATGATTTCTCATCGAATCAGCTCCCAAAATCATCCATGTAACGTCACTGAAATGATGGTATATTGAGGTAACTATCCCAGAATCATCTTATTTCAGGTCAGTGCAACGTGGCTGGCAAATCCCCCATATCTTAACAGCGTTACTCGTAGCGAAAATAATCATCAAATCATCAAACTAAATGGTGGATTTTCCAGCAAGCCACGAATACAGGGTACAGTATATTCCAGTAATATCCCATTAAACCTCCATTTATCCTATATCCATATTTATATATAATATATTATACCAATATCCCATTAAAATCTCCCACTAAACCTTCCAATAAACCAGATCTTAACTGCGTCAACGCCAGGGCCTCCATTCAGATGGCCTTCGTCGACAAGCTCCGCTCCTGGCCTGCGGCCTTCCGCGCCCTGGGCGGCGTCACATCGGGCGCTTCGTCCGAAAGCAACGAGACGTGGAGCAACCGGACAGGGCACGGGATGGCATGGGGCATCTGTTTGGCGCGGTTGGGATGGGAAGGTCTCCACTTGGGTGAACGTTTACAAGATGATCTGGAAAAACCACGGGGAAACCAGTTCGGAAAATGGATCAGAAATGATGGGTTTCCAACATCGAACTGTTAGTTTACAGTAGGGTACAGGCAATCGACAAAGTCGCTCCTTTTTTTCAGAAATGTCTATATTTAGTTGCGTCGAAGCTTTCCCTGGAAGTCGTGCCTTTTTGGAAAACGCAAGCAAACTCTGGTGATCACAGCGCAACCATGTTTTTAAGTGTTTTTGTGTTTTTTCTTGCGTTCAGCTTCGGTTTAGGTATCTAGTTATGCTTTGGGTATATGTAGTTTTTGTTGCGTTCAGTTGGGGGGAAACTTTTTTTGTTGCAGCTGCTTTCTTATCAGTGACTTCTGTACGTTCAACTGTATTTAGTAACTACTGTTAAACTGCTGCTCTTGCTGGCTGTTGCTCAGTTGCTGCCGCTGGCTACTGCCAAACTGCTGCTGGATTGCTACGTACCTTCAATTTACCGGGTATAATGATTGAGAATGGTTGACGATGGGTTGACAATGAACAAAAAATAGATGAAACTTGTGAGAGTCAATACTTGATTGTTCCTGGATTGTTTTGAAGATTGTTGAATTTAATGGGATTGCTTCACTTTTGTTTCTGAAAAGCTGGAGGTGTTTGTTATTTTGCTGGAAAAGCACTTGGGAATGCTTGTGAAGTGGAATCTTTGATGACGTCGATGATTGGGGGTTTGCAGGAACTGGTTTGCTCTCAGAAATACAACGTCTTGGTTGTTGGCCCTTCTATGGTCATTGTATTTTCGCCGCTGGTCTGCATGGAAGAGCTTACAAAAATGTGAGCTCTTGGGAGGCCACATCACAAAAGATGCTTGATTCTTGCAGGTAGAGTTGACCCCCCTATATCCCCCTATCACATATTGAACTCTATGCCGTCTATACCGATCAAACATAACACATGTTTAGAGCAGCCATGGCAGGAAACTACAGCTGCGGATGTGTGGTTGCGACCTCTCTGATTTTCTCCCAAACCTCCGGATCCTCCTTCGAAGTCAACATCAACAGATTGCTGGGCATTTGCATGGGATTGGCTGTGGGCAACATTCCCGCCTTGTTGACCCTTGTTAGCAGCTTGGGGCAGTGATTGAAGTCATTTCTTAAATTGGTCAAGGTCAAAATGGTACTGTTTGTGAACTTCTAGCAGTTTCTTATGTTCATTTTTCACCAGTGATCACCAGTGTATCCAGAGAGAGAGAGAGAGAGAGTCGACCTACAGGATCTTCAGCAGTACTGATCCTGCTGCAGACCTTACATCAGTGAACTATTTGCTGCGCGTGTTTATGTACTTTGTGGTGATGTTCACTACTTGGACGTTGGCGATCTTTGGCTATTTGGCAACGGACTCGAAATACTTCCGCGCGTGCCTCATGTGGGTTTGACGCCCAGTTGCTGGCAAAACATACTGTCAGGTGAGTCAGATATTGGAACGGTTCAGACAGCGCAAAGCAGAACACCATCGATAAGCATCCAGCATAGCCAGAAAAGTCATCCACAGCAAACTGATCATGTGAAGTTCCCTCGAAGGGTCTCTAAGACTCTAAGATTTTCATTGTTTGTCATAATTATAGACTGGATAGAGCAGAGCAGCACTTAGACAAGACAGTCATTTTTTGAGCAAAGGCTGCATTATCTGGAACAGAGATGCCACTCGGATTGCAAGATTTGAGTATGGCACCTTTCAATCGTTACACCCAGATCCTTCACTTAGCCATAGAAAAAAGATGAAAAAAGTAAAAAGCGTAAACATCGGGATGTTTTTGTTCCCCCTAAACATGAATAAGCATGGTACAATGTTGCATCCCTTCCCATTTTGATAGGTACCTTGAGCAAGTCTATGGGTAGATTCGGAAAGAAAATAGGGGTGTGTAAGGAATTTATCCCGAAAATTCACTGTTTCATCATCCACTTCCATATCCTTCAATTTCCATCCATCTTCCCATGATATTTCCATAGATTTCCCATGAAATTGCCATAGATTGGCACTAATTCCATGCCCATGTTCACCTTGAGGTTCCGCCACTTGCCGCGTGTCGGCATGTTGGATGTGCAGCTCTTTACGGCGATCCTGGACAACGTCTTGGCCGTCATGGTGGGCCTGGAGAGGGGGAAAAAGGATGGGTAAAGATAAGAGGATCCCATTCTTTTTGAATTTTGGGAATAGTATGGGAATGTATGGGATATATAATATATGATAAATATTATCACTTATAACTTATAAGGATAATATTATCCCATAAGTATCCATAAGTGATATTTAAGGATCATATTCACGATGTGGACTGATGAAATACGGAGGGGAACCAAAGGGTTTGACTCTTTGACCATCAAATTTAGAGGTTCCCAGTCGATTTTTCCGGAGACCAATACGGGGACATCAAAATTTGATCAAAGGGGAAACTGAGAACTGCTATTCGTAGCCTTCCTGGAAACAAACGATGAGAAGCAAAGGTGTTGGAACTGCTGATGGCTTCGGCGTTCTTCGATCCATTGATTTTATGTTTGCAATCATAACAGTGCCTTTGCATGTCGCAGCAATTTGCTGCCAGATTGAAGCTTCTGTCAGATTCCAATAAAAGGATTATGTTCCTCTTTCCCGTGGAGTGACATGTTTCCACCAGCTGCATCCTGCTGCAACCTGTGCAGGTGGTGTTTATGGTGGACATGGTGTTCGCCTACATGCAGGCCGGAAATCGCCAAGAAAAGTGTATCAAGTGATCAAGGAACTAATTATACCAGTAACCTGAAAATCGCGTCACTATGAAGGTTTTTTTTGAGGCCGAAGAAGGTTTATGAAACTCCGAACAGGTGCGCCAGATTCAGATTGGAGTCAAGGTTTGGATCCCTATATTCAATGCCATCATTAAACCGTTTCCTGCACACTTCCCGCATTCACAAGTGAATAAGTAAGTTTGGTCCCATAATTCGTGGGCCAACTTGAAAAGCCTATAATTTGATTGAAAAAAACTTGAAGATCCGTAACTTGCAAGGTGATTCCTCAAGTTTTAGTGGAAAAGGATGTGAAAAAACGGCTGAAAGCAACAGATTTCAGGGCAACGATGCTTCGGAGCAGGTGAAGGCGCGGTCACCTGGGAATCTCCAGCGAATCCAGCAGTTAGCCTCTGGTAACACAGTAACCGCTGATGCTAGGAACTGTAGCCAGTGGTCATTTATTGAAGCTATGGAACATGGCCCATTTATAGATGAATATATATATATATATATACTCGTATATACTATAGTTATAATATACTTATTAAAGATAGATGTCCATAGCAATGTAGAATTGCCAGAGGGTAGAATCTGCCACGCAGAGGGACTCAATAATCGATGACCCCCTTCTTGATCTACTATTTTCTTTACGCAAAACGCAGGAAATCATACCTGCTTGACTGATGCAGAAATTCCGGGTTCGTTTCAATATGGAGCACAAAACATATTTTTGGACCGCACATCAAAATATGGAGCATCCAAAGCTGCATTGGTTTCTAGGCTAGATGAGAACATTGTATTATATAATGTGTTCCATAGGCTAAATGATGCCAAACCAGTGGATGCTGCATGGGGCGCTCCAGGCTGCGGTGACCCGTTGTATTCAGCGGATCGCAACACAGCTGGATACCCTGAAGGCTGGTGCCCCGCGGCGCTCAAAAACCATCCGTTCATCAAACCTGGCAGGTTGGGAAATCCCATGAAAAATCCCATGAAATCCCCTGAAATGGAGGTTTTTTTATGGGAAAATATGGGAATATCATCTATGCATGGTGGATGTAAGTTGGATTTTCTATTGCCATGTTTGATTAGCGGAGGGTATGTTTGGTTCACTCTCTGCTGAAATGCTTTCTTGATAACATGCTGCAGAAGTCTATGAAGACCTTGACCATATTTGGACATCCATTGCTGCAGCCAGCTCAGAATGTACTGTAGAAGTACAGAGCTGATGGGCTACATATGAGTACTGTAGATGAGAAATCAACACATGCATGAGTTCATACGAATTCATTATGTTTTGGAATTGTGCTGAAACAAACCTAGATCACTCTCCATCGTCCAAATTTCAGAACATCTTTGAACTTCTTCGTGCAACCACGCGGTACCTCAAAAGAGGTCTCGTTTTGTGCGTGGCTTCCGCGGCACCAGCCATGGTGAAAATTCATGCAGATTTTACAGTGGAGACCACGCCAACCAAGCCCATTGAGGGGCAAAAGCCAGGGACTTCGGGAATCAGGAAGAAGACCAAGGTGTTTATGGAAGGAACGTAGCTAGGCCAGCTGATTATGAGATATTATTTCTGGATTATGGCTGAGCCGTGAGCACACACAACTGCATGGGGATCTTCATGCTAGCCAGGATCCACCAAAATTGGCTACGTTCAGCTACTGTATTGCATGCTATTTAAAGGTCGTGATCAGTAGATGTAAATAGGACATCACCGAAGAAGCAGCTATCTTTGTCTGAGCTGCAGCATGCGCTTTTAGGACTCAGACTTCCATATTTTCAGTTCGCCAGAAAACGGTCCAAACGTCTCGATCGAGGTACTTGGCGAACTTCGTGCAGAGCGTTTTCAACACCTTGCAGGAAGAGAATGTCCCCGTGCAGGGCGGAACTTTGGTTGTCTCCGGGGACGGCCGATTCTGGAACCCAGAGGCCGCCGAGCGGAGTGAGTGGAAAGTTGAGAACTATACATAAGCATTATATAATTTGGTTATATGGTCATGTTACTGTATTTATGATTGTTGCATATCATGTTATATATATATATATTGTTATCATAGAATATCTGAATATATATATAATTATATATATATGATCTATATATTAATAGTTTTACTCAACTATTTCATTTTCTCAAAGACATGGCGATTGATTGTGTACTTTACTTTGGTGCAGAAGCCATTCAGGTTTTAAAACATATCGCTGCCAGTGCCGTGCTTGGGGGTTTGTTGGGTGGACGTGCGCATCCACAGAGAGATCTTGAAATGTGAAACTGGAAGTCCCAATTTCTGGACAGATCCATCTATTAACAGAAATATTAACCCATGATTAACCCATGATTAACCCATCTATTAACCCATGATTAACCCATCTATTAACCCAGCAATATTAATCATGGGTTAATCATGAAGATATTAATATTAACCCATGATCAACCCATCTATTCTGCTTCATTTGTTTCATGCTTTGAGGCGATCCAAATTATCATCAAGATGGCCTTCGCAGCGGGTGTGGCGCGCGTCTGGTGTGGCACCAATGGCCTATTGTCCACGCCAGCCACTTCGGCCGTGATCCGTATGCGCGGTGGCAAGGGCTATGAACCCTTTGGAGGCAGGTGGTTTGATGGTGATGGGGTAGGGGATGGTAGGGGTATGTAGCAGTTTGACATGTTGCGTAGGAAACAGGAAAGTCTGGTTTGACTTGAAAGTATGTTTGAGATTTGTTTGTGATCGGTTGAGCAGATTGTCAACTGACAAGCACTTCATAGAAGAAGTCTTCCAGCTGTTGGATGTACGAAATCAACCATGGCGAGCTGGGAAATGTTCGAACTACAGGGAGGTTTGTAGCTGGATGTAGCTGGGAAAATCAGCTATATATATATACATATATATATATACATATATATATATATATACATATATATATACATATATATATATATGGTGGATTTTCCAGCAAGCGGCCATGTTTGATGCTTTATGTCCCAGGCTTCATTTGTTCCGCCTCGCACAATCCTGGTGGCATCGACGATGATTTTGGCATTAAGCAACTTGGATGAAACCTGCAAACCTTGGGTTTTGCTCCCTATAGTTGTGCGGTTCACCCTAGATATCTCTATATATATATTATTATATTGCCTGGATTTAAAATGATTTATCATAAGATGAACCAAGCTATCCAAAGTTACAATGCGCTTTCTTTTTTCAGCCTTTTTTTTCCAGAGGTACAACTGCGAAAATGGAGGCCCGGCACCTGAGAAGCTGACGAACAAGATGTTGGAATGGACCGCCAAGATCACGGAGCTGAAAAGCTGCAGCACCTGGGAGATCGGTTGAGCGGTTGATGGATGGGCGAAAATCATCAAATGTTGGCCAAAGATTGGCTTTACTGGCAGAAACAACAAGTATATCATCAGATTGGTTTTACTGTGATTATTCAAGTTTGTGATAGTTTGTGTAATAGCGCTGAATAAGAACGAATAGATGCTGTGGGTCGACGATGGGTCTGACGTGCCTCGGTAGATGGCGCTTACCTCTATCTCTGAGGGATACTGCAGATACCCAAAACCAGGGATAAAAGTTTATAAACCAGGATTTGAGTATCATGAAGCAACATAAAAGCATGTTGACAAAGCTTGATTCAGCAAGAGAAATCCAAGATCAACACTGGGATTCTGACCGATTCGCCCAAGGTAAGCTACCTGATTTTGATCTCTCCAAGCCGGAGCTCTATGAGTTGCCCGGGGGGAAATTCGTGGAAATCTTCGATTGTGTGTCAGATCACCTGGCCGTGCTGAAGTCGATTGGCATTACGAAGATGAGATTGATGAATGATGCTGAGATATAGTAAATTATAGTAAATGTATATATGTAAATGTGGATGTGAGTGGATTGAACTGAAACTTTTTTTTATCATTAGATTCTGTGATAGATATGTCACATTGTGCCAGAAACCATTCTCATGAGAAGATCAGCACTTTACTCCCACACACCTCGATTTCGACGCAGCTGTGAGATTGCTGAGGAATTGCTTTGACTTCGAGGGTATCAAAAAGCTGATTGCTCACCCGCAATTCAGTGACTTGCCTTTGATGTCTTTGATTCAACTGGGAGGCAGTCCTTGAATGATGTGGAATGATGGGATGTACTCGTGAATGGACGCCTGGAAAATGTACTGTACTGTATCATCATTTATTTTGTGTAAGCACACATTTGTCAACGTCCCCTTGTCCAAAGCAGGATATGATAAGTTCTGATTTGCAAGAACCACTCCAAATGAGTACAATTGTTATAATATAATTGTTATCATACAAACAAGTCCCGCTATGTCAGTAATATCTCTATCCACTGCCTCGGGGCAAATGATGGCATAGATGTGCATCAGGCTTCAGAATCCTCAATTAAGTGGCCAAACTACAAATTTGATCCCATACCATAAATCCCCGTCCACCCAAAACCGAAGGTGTTATTCTGAGATCGGATTTCCCCCAACTCAGATTATAGTATTATTATCGTTGGATTTACCACAGATATTTCAGATTCCATCTCCCATCAGATCCCAGGTATGACCTACGATTCCATGTGTGGCGTCCAGGGCCCCTATGCCCTCCGGGTCTTCGAGAAGGAGCTCGGGGCCCCACCAGGGACCTGCAAAAACGCCACGCCGCTGCCGGACTTCGGGGGGCCCTCCTCGGCCTGGCATGGCCATGCGGATCCAAACCTGACCTATGCGGTGGAGCTGGTGAAAGAGATGGGATTGAACAAGGAGCCATAAAATGACCATAAAAGGAAAAATGACCATAAAAATGACCTCTGGTGAAATTTTGGAATCAACATGAATCAACCATACTTCAAGATATTTACAGAAATTGACCAATGATACAAACTCGGACAGTCACTTTCCGTGAAATCATGCTCAAAGAGCAGGCCAAAATGTGCAATACTTTTGGATGGAGACCCTGTAGGTGGGGCACTGGATGGCAAGGGACGGGTTTGGCTGTGAGTGAAGAACTTTGGGGTTGGGACCGGTCGCTCAAGTCATTAAACATTTGATTGATCCAGACCTGATCGAATGGCTTCTCCTGCAGAAGGATTTCGGATAATTTTGGCAACACCTTGTTTGATCATGTCGAACATACTGTAAGTCTCAAGCTTTCTGCACAACTGCATTTTGAATACAGATGTAATCAAGGTCCATCTAGATCACAACAACAGTCTTAATTACCATGTTTTACCTTGAATAGATGCCTTTTGAATCTGTTTGAAGGAGAATAGATGCCTTTTGAATCTGTTAATTCAGGAGGGTAACAAGGTCGAGACCGGCAAAGCCATCCCCTGCTTCGGTGCGGCAGCGGACGGGGATGCAGATCGCAACATGATTTGTGGCGCGCAGTTCTTCGTGTCGCCCAGTGATTCTCTGGCGATGATCGTGGCAAATGCCGACCTCATCCCGCAGCAACTTGGCGGTGGAGCAGAGGTACGGCAGGAATGAAACAACGATTGAGGCCCAATTGAACAAAAGGATGAAGAGAGGATGCAAGCTCTGAGATCCATGAAAAAGCATGTGGGTTTTTGATGGTTTTTGCCTTTGGACCTGCATCAGCCTGAGAAATCAGAAAAAAACATAAAAAATCACCCATGGTTGCCGTCATAAGAGTTACACCATGATGGACCCTAGCAAGACGATGGCACCATTCAGCTCTAGCTCTAGGATTCCTCAGCTAGATCATTCAAGTCATCATGCCAGCTGCCAGCTGTGTGCGTCTTAGGTTCAAAAGTGGTTTGAAGGGATGTGCCAGATCAATGCCAACCTCAGCTGCATTGGATTTGGTGGCCAAAAAGATCCTCGGACTTTCTGCACCTTCACTTAGGAAAGTTACTGGGGGCTGGTTCTAGGTGCCAGCCTAGGGCATAGTTTCTGCGCAGCACAGCTACTTTCCAGCTATGCCATGCCTCCAGTCCGATTCACATCATGCCCAGCTGGCTCAGGAAAAACATTCCATGCTTCGAAGTTCCCACGGGCTGGAAATTCTTTGGGAATCTGATGGACAGTGGCACCAGCTATTTCCCCGGCAAGGAGCGGATAAAGGGCCCCTGCATCACTTTGTCAAAGTACCCAGTTGTAGTAGAACTGGATGAATGATAAATATGACTATGACTATGATGGAATAAAGCCATGATAATCTATGATATAATATTATATAATATATTAAACCTACTAATATTTATGATATATTAAACCTACTATATCAACAGGCCCTGATTATTTCTTCAACGGTGTGTATGACTGATGACTGCAATTGCCCTGATGTCAAAGGGCATTGCTGACGTTGCCACAATCAACGCGGCGCAGCAATAAAACACAAGCGGTGTACTGATATGTACTGACCACAGCTGCTGACAATTTCTTTCCGGCAGGAGACCTACACTCCCTTCATTTGCGGCGAAGAATCCTTCGGTACTGGCGCAGACCATGTGCGCGAAAAGGACTGCAGAGCGCAGCATGTTTGTCTGGCAAGTCTTGGGGCGGAAAAAACCAGCCACTCCGATGAGCAATCACCACAAAATGGGATTGGCTCAAAACGGCCGCAAATCGGAGTATTGAAGATTAATTGTTCAAAACCAAAAATGATGAACATGTGTGGGTCCATTCCCTATTCTTGATCCACGACAATGGGTTCCGTCTGAAAAATAGGATACCATAAGGTACCCCTAAATCCGGTGGCTTATCATCGTTATCATTTATATTATCATCATTGTACAAGACCTTTTCAACATTTTTCAACTATATAGATTCATTCAACTAGCCATTTTGGTGGCTAACCAGCCCATTGACCCAGATCACTGACGCCACGTTGATCGCTCGCTCCTCCGGAGGACGGTATGTGGGCCGTGATGGCGTGGCTTCAAATCTTGGCGAAGAAGACGGAAGCGGCTGGAAAATTGGTGAGCGTAGAGGATCTCGGCACCCAACGATCATAGACCCGCCACATGGTTAGGGATGTTAGGGGGAAGACTAGTGCTACGCAATGTCATAAAGCAATATAAAACATTTATTTAATTTAAAAAAAAACACCCAAATGTCAACGCCGACTCGTGACGAGCTGGAAACTGGATACCAAAATCGGTTGGTATTTGTTTCGCCTCTTACATCATTTATCAATAAATCTTAATAATATATTGATCATTAAATAATTAATTGTATTAGGCCTCAAAAAATAGCCGTTTGGGGGGTATGAAAATGATGGTATCCTCCAGTGACAGGTGTGAACACAACGGACTCACTGGACCCGTGCTGTTTCGGAGAGACTTTGCTTAGTCTCATGGTACTTCTGACATAGATATTTAGTTTTATTTTAATATATTAATATATGTTTTGATGTTATTTAGATTTATATAGATACTGATTTAAATCACCATGTACATGAGTAAATCATCACACATCGTTGAATGATGTCTAATGAACAAGCGGACCATGCTTTACTAACATTACTGTCTCTTGAGAATTGGCAATTTTCCGGATCTATGTTACTTTGGGAGATTGTAGATGGCTTCTTGGAAACATGATGATCCATTGGAATTGTGGATAGTACAAACAGATACAAACAGACTACCTCCCAACACGGGAGAAGCTTGGCAGCAACTCGCTCGAATCATCCAACCTGGCCGATAGTGAACTTCAGGGGTGCAGAGAGAAATGACCCAGGACCAAGTAGGAAGATTTGAATGACCTGCTTGTTTCCAAGTTTTGTGCGTAATGCAAAAGCTGCGGTGCCAGAGCTTTTATCTAATGGGCTTGAAAGGTGCAGAGAAACAAGATGAATTTTTTGCAAAAAAAATCATTAAACAAAGATCTTCTACTGCCAATGTATGCTACTGATGGCGACTTTAAGTCGTCCCCTGATGCAACTTGATCTCCTGCCTTCTCCTGGGATCACTGGAATGCTCCCTTGGAGGATGTTGCCAATGCTCACTGGAAGGAGTATGGTCGCAACTACTATGCTCGATACGACTATGAAGGACATGGGTCATGACTGATGTCCCCATGGGTCACATCACCCAATATAAGGTAGGTATATGGTCAATGCCATGGCTACTTTTTCAGGTGATGTCCAATATACCCAAAATGGGACAGTTACCAACCCCTGAAGGAGTTGACAAAGCCAAAGCAGAGGAGCGGAAGTGCATCACACCATAATTGGTGAATCGGTGGATTGAAGGTCTGTGAATTTTTTGGGCAAACTTTGGCGATGATGTGATGATGTTTTTTTTTTCCCGGGCCGCTCAAAGTGCGCATATAAGACTTGCTTGTAGTATTCGCAAGTAATTAGTCTATTTCAATCTATTTTGACTTTTTCAAGATATTCTACCCATTTCTATCCCTTGTAGTCACCACCAGGATCTGATTTCTATTACCAGCATCTTCTTGGAATCGGATACCAGGTCAAAGCCATTTGGAACTGTTCCAGGTTGAGCAATGATGAAGCCCACATTTTTAGATATTTTTAGTGGAATCCCCCATATATTTGATCGGAAAAACAACTTGACGAAACATGGCTGTAGATTTTTCCCTGAAATCAACCCACCGACAGGTCGGTTGAAGGATTAGAACTGTGAGACCACCTTTCAGTTTGCGGTTTTCTGTGCCTTGAGGAGATGTTTGCTGCCATGGAAGCGCAGGTCGGTCAGCTGGTGGGCAAGGAGTTCCAAGGTGGTTTGAAGATCAAGATCAACGACGCCAAGCGAAGAACATTCTGCAGTTGTTTGGTGAGTTGTTAGGTGCTTTCAAGTTCCAATGTCTCTGCCCATTTAATGTTGAAGAGTATGCTCGACTAGATGGGCAGACGAGTTGGAAAGAATATAGCCGGTTTTCCAGTTTCCAGATACCCTTTGGCAATTGCTCATGGGCTCAGGACATGTTTGAATATGTCGACCCAGTTGATGGCAGCATTTCGAAGAAGCAGGGCCTACGCTTCATTTTTGAAGACAACTCGCGGATCATCTTTCGATTGTCCGGCACTGGTGTGGCAGGCGGGGCGACCCACTTGGCAGAGACCCAAAATGAACAGCAGTTTCCAATCCTCTGGGCAACTAACATAAAAGTGGATACAAGTGGAAGATTCACCAATATCCACATATATCCTCCATTTCAATCCATTTCACATGTTTATTCAATAAAAAAAACATGGTGGTCTTCCACTTGGAGGACGTTGGCGCCAAGATTGCCCCAGGTGCGACGGTGCGCTTGTACCTGGAGAAGTACGAGCCACCCACAGGCGACCTCACGCAACACCAATTCGAAGTCGGAGGCTAAGGAGATGAAGAGCTTCCACGGAAAATCTGCGGAAATTTGTAGAGAAAAATCTGAAGTTGCCACTAAAAATGTCTGAAAATATCGAATTTCCTGTTGGATTCAAGATTTTTTGGGCCCCAAGGATTTCCGGTTTAAATTCTCAATTACTTTCGTGGTTTCAAAATACTGGACCTCCAGGATTCAGAAGGTGTGACTTTGGGCCTCCTTCATCTAGAGCTGAGCAGCTACTTCTATCCATTCAAGATCCATGATGCACACAAATGATGGTTGACTTTTTGGAAAAACCCGTGAAAAAATGGTGTCAGATTGGTTCCTTCAGACTTTCCAGTTCAGTTCCTGTGTTTCTATATGGACAACCCTCTCTTGGCTTGTTGTATCACCTTATGGGGTATCGCTGTATCACCATTTCTAGTGGGATGAATGCTGGCCTTCAGCGTCACATCAAAGCCTTGCATATGTACCTGTTCATCATAGGATGGATAAAGTGTTCTTTTTTGATTTATTTTTTCATTTTGACATAGTGTTGCAGCTACGTGAAACCAAAAACCGATTGGAAAAAGACGTTGTCCACCATTTCTGTATTTGATATAGTACTTACTGTAAGTATATATATATATATTTATAAATGATTTTAAATGGATATGGGCCAAGTCGTTGGGTACCCCGCTATCAGGATAGTTCAAAAATGACAAAGGCAAACAAAAACACCAAAATTTGGATCGGTCAAGAGTCTGAAACACCCAAAAACGCACCATAAAATGCCCGAAAAGGACGAAATTCCATGCTCTTTCCCGTGAGGATCTCATAATTTCCTCATTTTTCCCCATGTTTTCCACTGTTGGTCCAACTGTATCAGGTCGTTAAACCTTTGGCGGCCATCGCTTTGGAGCTTTCGAAGCTTTCTAGTTACACGGGACGTTGGGGACCCAGCTGGGGGACTATATTTGTGGACAAAAACCTAGAAAATATCGTGTGGTTTCAGTGGTTTCATGTTTTCTTGGCACTATTTCCCCTGAAATCAATCCACTGAAGCATTCAATTTCTTGCTTTCGAAACACACAAAGCACTTTCCATGCAGATGCTGCTTTGATTTGAAGCTTCAAACAGGTTTGGTCCCTGCAATGGAGTTCAAACACCACTCGTCATGGCTTTGTTGCCGAGGTGATGCCCCAACTGTCATCACCTAAAAGGCGAGGACAAGACTTTTTGCTGACAAGGGGGGGCTGTTTCCCTCCCGCGTCAGCATCTCCGTGAGAGACACAAGAGGAGTGCAAATCGCTAAGAATGACAGTAGTTGGCCAACACAATGTGGCAACATCGGTTTTAACTTGATTGAGAAGGAAGCAGAAAACACAAGAGACTGAAAAAAATGGGTTTGTGAGAATCTCTTTGAGGGTAGATCAGACAAAGTGGAGTTCGCTACTTATTCTTGAAGCGACGTCTAGTTCGGCCATCGGATCACTCCATGTGTCTCTCCTACGATCAGAGAATCCCTTTTCACCCTCCAGATCCAGACGTGCACTGAAAAGCACTGGAAAAGTCCAATGGTGTTGCTATGTGGCTATGGATCAATACCTATTAATACCATTTTTAGGGGAATGAACATCCATTTACCAGCTATTTTGATGTTCACCAGGGGTACAGGGTTTTGACACACTGCCATGTGTTGCTGATGTTTGCTGCTTTTTCTTTTCAGCTGAACATCGGGTCCCCAAAAAAATCTTCCACGTTGCACGGCCGCACGAAACATGGAGGACCTGACCATCCTGACCCCTGTCGTGCTGCCGTTGAGCGCTAGGTGCAGGGCATCAGGGAGCTGCAACTGGACACCTTGCAGCGGGACATCAAGGACGAGGGCTCAATGGCTTGGGAAAATGGACGGAAAACCCATGGAAACCCCTATATTTCATGGGGAAAACCCATGGTTTCCGGTGAAGTTTTTTTCTTTAACCAATCCAGTGACATTCTTATAATTACTATAACTACTAACAGATAACCATGGACAGTAGTATGATTGCAGATTTTCAATGAACGAACTATTAACCATGAATATCACATCTGTGATCATCAATCAGATTAATATCGAGTTACTGCTATGTCCAGTGATTATTAGCGTATATACTGGTACTCCTGTTGTCACTTTGACCTATTGTCCCAGAGTTGGTTTGAGGGGAAAATCTGCAGGAAGACGCGATATTTGGTGGTAAGAACGAGGGTTGCCTGTAGATTTTAAACCAATTCATTATATATACTACATATAATATATATATAGGTATTATAATATAATATATATATATATTACCATATATCATATTATAATCTATGCCAATCTTGTGGATTGATGCAGTGCGTGAGGACGCTCGCTTCTGGGACTCTGAGATCCAGAAGGAAGGCCAGCAATGGCGCCTCGAAACTCCCTTGATACACCCAAGGATGAAGGGACATGCACACAATGATGAATACGCAGTGAGTATGCAAATATGATCAAATATGCATGAACTACCCCAGATGACATCCAATACACTTTCTGATTCGCATCCAAGAGGCATCATATCTTATCTCCCAACTCCGCCACAACGTGAATTGCGCATCCCTCGCTGTGTGATGCATCTCCATCTTTGCAATGGCAAGCGTATCAGTTTCTACCCTTCTGATCTTTTCTCAACTTTAGTCCATGAAACTCACAGGAAGACAGTTTTTTTTGAGAATGTTTCCTGAAACTCATGAAACTAACACAATTTGACAATTTGTTTGTTTTGCCATGGCCACGTGCATTTATTGATGCCCCATTCGCAGCAGGTCCCACCAAACCGCCAGGCTTGGTGTGGACGAGACTCTGGAAGAATGCCTACAAGGTCGCCATGGGATCCTGGTTGCGAAGGTGTAAAAAGCGGAACTATTGGGGCAACCTAGTTTCAGACAATGCCAGAGAAGTGTGATATATCCAGTGATGATACTTGAAATATGTTGAAATCGGTGAATTCTGATGAATTGTGGAGATGGTCGGAGCAACTTCCTGTGATTTTACATATCACTACAGTCTTTCAAATTGTCTAACCAGCTGGTGACTGGCCCCAGTTGACCTCATCACTTCGCGGCTTCGCCACATGGCAACGCAGGCCGAATCGGTGCCCGCACTGCTGGATCACTTTGACGAGGTGCGGGATGCTCCGGTGTTGGGATTTGATGATTTCTCTGGGATTTTGATGGATTTTTGGTAGAGCTTCAAGCTCTTCAAGCTGCAAAGCTGAGATGGTCACTTGCCCTTAACATCCCTTAACCATCATTCATCATCGTTAAGCATCTCCCCTTTTTCTATCGCTCACTGCACCTGTCAGGTCTACGTCTGGCTGAATGCTGTGCAGAACAGTGGCAGTCGCTGTGACCCGGAGTTGGCTGCAAAGATTGTGCGGGATCTGCCCAAGAGCGTGGTTGAAAGATGCCACACCTTCGTCCGAGCCATCAAGCTGGTGCTGCAGGGCTTGGATGAATCTCGCAGAAAATAGGGTATTTATATATATATATTATATATATATATATTGTGTATATATATATATATTGTATATATATATAATTATATATATATATTGTGTATATATATATTGTATATATATAATTATATATATATGAATTATTTTATGTGCAAAAGTGGCTTCCCAAGTCAGGAAAAATCAACTGCTGGCTGACTTCGGGTCAGTGGGGCCTGATCCAAGATCTATGAGAAAAAAACAACCAGACTTCGCTGACTTGAGGACTCCCTGCATCGCGAACTTCACCATCTGTTGGAGGGCTCCAAGAGGGACTCTCCGGAAATGGGGATCTCATCCCAAAGTATTTGTCGCTTGGTGTGAAATCCTTGTGCGCGCTGGTAATTCACATGGACCACAGATTTTGGTTCGTTTGTAATAGTGTACTGAGTACTAACATACTGTGGATGGAAGAAATCCTGCACCACCTTGGATGGTTGAAACCCTATAAATAATGGGATAAACCATCTATCAACTGGTGCAGGATTTCTTCCATCCACAGTATGTACTAAGTACTAACTATCCCAGTTGGAATCTTGCTGCCTCAGATGGGAAAACGCAGACAAGAGCACCTCACAGCAACAACTAGACTCACTAGACCTACAGTGGCACCTTCACAAACGATAGGGGACCACCCACTTTGGCCATGTCCATTGCGAGTAGTACGTAATTTTGTCTGCCACTCACATGGGGATAGGATAAACCCATATAAACCCTGTGTTTTTCCCGGTTATTTTGATGTGAACAGAATAAACAGAAGGGGAAGGGTGCTGATCGGGTTTACCACCACACTCTCCGCCACGTTTGCAAGGTAACATGCTTCAAGGGGATGCTGCAGAAGGTCGGGAATGGAAGCCTTCAAGCCCTGTCGGCTGATGGTCATTATGATATACCCTAGGGTAGTAAGATGTGGAAACCCATGGTTTCCCATTTGGAAAATTATGTGCAAATGGTGGGTTTTCCACATCTATGTTAGTTTAGAGGAAGGTACTAGTTGGTGGTTTCAAACCTACATTATTTTCCTTTAATGATGGTCCCTGTTGACAAATATTGTTCAGGGGGTTGAAGCCACCAACCAGAGACATTTATGCAATGATATTGAGTGGGCATGACTTGCATTCCATTACTGTATGAGAATCCTCGTCAACCCACAACTCCGAAAACTTAAATATATATATATATATATTATAATTATTATATATATAATTATAATGTATGTGTATATATATATATATATATTATTATTATATATTATATATATTACATATTATATATTATATTATCATATATATATATTCTAATATATTCTATATATATATATTCTATATATTTCTATATATCAGGTTGCATTCAGTTTGCCAGGTATCATAACATGATGCAACACGGTGAATCCCAAAGGACTGTTCAATGATTGCTTATATTATAGGTTCATGGTGTTTTATGATACCCATAAGCTTTTTGAAATTGAGTCGTAATAATGTATAGTTTATACGGTTTTAAGATGTTTTAAGATTGTCTATGAGTATGCTACCATGTCCATGTCTCAAAAACGAAGAAACCAGGCACAGCTTCGGACATGGAAAGCTCTCCAGCTGAATCCCACCCTGATGATGTGGCGCAGCGTGCTGCGGCGCACGCCGTACACCTCAGTGTGAAAGCGCTGAGGATGACGTTGCAAAAGATTGGAGGTGCGGATAAAGCAGCGCGGATGAATCGCAGAACAACCTGGCAGTTGATCTTACATGAAATATTATGTTAAAATGTGATAGAATGTAATACTACAGGATACTGCATATTGTGTCTATCTAATATTATTAATCCGTTTATGATGATTGGTCAAGGATTTTAGATGTTGAAGAGTGGCAACATGCTTTGATTGTATTACTCTACCATCAACAGTACAAGAGTGGCAAGATGATGTTGAAGATTGTCTCTGTTGATTGAAATGATAATCCAGAGTCGCTTGTCTTCAATGCTTGAGGCCGGTTCTTTGCATTTATGTAGTTTCCCGAAGTACGGTATTTGTATAAGAGCTGTTTTATCATATAGAACGGTATAATTGGATCTCATGTGTGTTTTTATTTACCCCGCATGGCATCAAAACCGAAGGTCCTGCCATGTTAAGTCCATTGAAATAGTGAACCTGACTGGGTTGCCACAGGTTTGCTTGCTGCTGGTTCTGCCTTGGCTGCCAAAGACTGGGGAGTGGAAGCCAGACGTCGAAATGCCAAGGGTGTCATGGCTCAATGGGCGGAGAGTTTGGTTGAATGGACCACACATTTGGTCATATTCAGTTTTCAACCATACAGGTCTAGGAATTGTCAATTGCTGGTTGTGCGTTCGTGCCATTTTTATATTTTGTTTGGATTGTTTCGAAAATTTGTGAACAAAGTATTGATCAATTATGCCCCTGCTGCCGCTCCTTAAAAGTAGAATTCTAATTCAGATTGACCAGTTCTCTCTGGGAAAGAATACCTGGTATCTTTGGGAGACGCATGCCTGTCCGAAGATAGTGCGGGCAATCATCGATGCCACTTGCACTATATATTTTTGTTGCTTAGTTTCCACTATTTTTGGTGGTTTATTACTTGAATGAAACCAACTTCTTGGGTCCACTGCCCCGTTTGATCATAGAACTGACCAGGCGAACAAAGTTTCACCATGGATGACTTCATGGTGCCCAAGAGCAAGAGTGGCGACCTTCGTCGGCGCTTGCGGAGCAGTGCGACGACACATTTCTAGTGGCAGATCTGGATCTGGGTCAAAATTCTGTAGAATGCCCAACGGTTCCAACCTGTCATAGATGTGTCAAACATATGTAAGATTGTGTAGATCAATTGTGTAGATTTGTCAAAAAAAGCTTGCGTAAACCTTTTTTTCTTAGCTCAAGCGGTGAAAAATTGACCCATTCCTAGCATGCAGACATGGGCCAGGGATGCCCCGGAGCTCAAAGTAGCTCTACATTACAAAGGTGCCAAAGTTGCACCACGGATTCCTTGAAATGTTCTGAAAGCTTCCAACAATGGTTTTGTCATGTCTTGTCCGGAAATTGAATGTACCCAGCTCGTATCCGTATCCAGTTGCAATAGACCGAGCACTGCCATGGAGATGTGGAATGATGTGGATGGATGGATCGGTGGATCCACCGATGGATGAATAGATTGATTGATTGATTTGATTGATTGATACATAATAGATAGATAGACCATGGGGTTTGGGGGTATCACTGGGCATCCTATTTTCAAAAATCGAAGCTGGTTTCCTTGGCTTTGGACTTGCCGCTCGTTTGCTCGTTACGGTGGCCGTCGAAACGACACAGAGCGCCCCAGCTGTTTTAAATGCCATGAGAAGTTTTGGACACATTATGACATATTCCAAGCTATTGCTAGTCATTTTTGGAGATGATGAGATGATAGACAGATAATCTCAGATAATCTAAGATTAAGTACGCCAGTTCAATGCAATATAGTTCAATGAATTCTTTAAGCATCATACCCTTGCAACTGCCATGGACCAAGAGCCTGTGCTCAATGTTTGAGATCAAGCGGGAGGCGACTGATGTCCGGCATCGGGGTTTGCTAGTTGTTTTTAAAGCCCATCTTTCTTTGGCACACAATAATGTAAACGGTGTATAACGATGTACAATATGATGATAATTCATATAGCATACTATTGATTGATGTATAGCAACATGATACATATATAATTACTATATAATAATATATATATAATATACTATATATATATATTATATAGATATATACAGTAATATAATGTTTCAAAATCATCTAACATGATATTTCACATGTATCAATTTCAAGAAAGTGAGAGGACACCAACAAAAAACGCGCTTCCGCGAGGTGAAGGCTTTGGTACTGGCACTGGAACAAAGGCGATTCAAGGTGGATCCGGTCCAGACAGCAGAGGCTAACTTTCGTTATTCGCCAAGAAAAAGATGGCAGTGTGAACCATGAGTTTTTCTGGGATTTCAGAGTGAATTGATGTGAATTTATGTGAATGGCAGTATTAACTTATTAACCTGGAAAAACCAAGAGTGAAAATAATATGATAAACCACTTGATGTCAATTGTAGTCGCGAAAATCGAGCGATGGGATTTGGGGTACGCTACTTTTGGGCCCAGAATATTGGGAATGGGTCAGGGTACCTTCAAAATTAGAAATATGATGGCAATATTTGGCTCCTGAAAACATCCACTTCTGAGGAGTTGTAATTTTGACTCATACTCATGCCATCTCATGCCCATATATTTGCATCCGCATGCATCAGCATGAATTGAATGATGAAAGATTTGAGAATTCTGCGACACCCTGCAAGAGCGCCTAGTTTCTAAATAAGTACACCGGATGCTCTAGTGAATAGCTCCGGTAATCAAACTGGATGGAAAATAACCCATTTATATAGTTGGATGATTTTCCAATTGTTTTGCCCAAGTCATGGAATCTGATGTCCAATCTGATCTTGTTGTCATGACTCAATGACGCGTGAGGCGGGCAGAAGACCAGCCAAGAAAAGAGGTCAGAAAGAGTCGCCACAAAAGCAGGAGCCTATAACCCATATGCTCCATGTATGGTATATATGCTAACATTTGGGGTATATTGATGGTAAATGTTAGCATATATACCAGCACCATGGATCCTATGGGTAATTTCTTAGCTCAACACTTGGGGATCTCTTTCGGTGAATCTGAGCTGTCATCAGGAAACGGATCCACAGGTCAACGTCACCTTGAAGGACCGGGAGATCTCCATATGGCAAGGTGTGGAGGTCAAGCGGCTTATCTTGATATGGCTATGGATCAATACCTATTAATACCATTTTTTGTGGGATGAACATCCATAAATCCCAGCTATTTTGATGTTCACCAGGGGTACAAGGTTTTGACACACTGCCATATCTTGATGGGGAAAGTGATGGGAAACTCTCCGGTGATCAAACATTGCAATTGGACATTCCCTCTAAACGGAGGTGTTATTGGGAAAATCATCGAACAGGGAATTCCCAATAACATCCCCGTTGACAGGGAATTCCCAATTGCCATGTTTGATTACCGGAGGGTATATCCATGAACATATATATATAATATATATATATATGTATATATATATATTATATATAGTTATATATATATATATTATGTATATATATATATATCCCACTAATATCCGATTAATCCAGTAATGTTCATATCCCATTAATATCCCGTTAACATCCCATTGATATCCCATTGACATCCCATTAATATCCCGTTAAACCTCCATTGGCAAAGCATGCAGTGCAGTGCTGCAGGATCTCCGCGTCGAGGCCAAAGAGTTGAGACGCCGGAGAAACCCAGTGGATGTGCCACAAATTCCGATCAAACTTGAACCAAGAAGAGATCAGCTAAGAAGTGATGAGGTTATATGATGTGATATGAATGTGATATATACAGTATATATATAATTATATATATATACGTATATTATGTATACTGTATTTGTATATGAGATATTAATGAATGATGTAACAACTGATGGAGACATGATGAATGTGAAATATACGAAATATGAATGATGTAATTACTGATGGACTTGGCGGAGATCCTAGTAACTCATCTTAGCCCGTCGCTCATGGTCTTCATGGCTATGGATATCTATGGATCAAAACCGTGGCACATCCCTGGTGGTATTGGTTATGATTGCTTCGTGTCATCATCTCCGCCGATTTTCCGTGTAGATATGGAACGTCTTTTTTGGATGGACCCCCATGGTTTTCATGGTTTATACCTCCTTTTTGTTGCCGGTTCATAGCCAAGTTTGCATGCTTCATACCCAGTTGTTGTGATGATTTGCAGCCACTTTTTGATGCGTTATCATGCAGTGCACCCAATGTTTGATCATTTACAAGGTGTACCTCGTTTTTCATAGGAAACACGACCCCCATCCCCATCACATCAAGGCGCCCATCGCGCGGTGTCCGCCTCTGAAACCAAGTCTTTGGGAGGCGATATGGCGACGTGTGGGGATGGATTATTCATTATTGAGCATTGTCCATGATTGTTGATGATTAGATTTGATGAGATTGGATTAGATGATCTAATGATGAATCATGGTTAATGAGTGTTAATGATTGTTAAGAAGTGTTAATGTTCGTTAGTGTGTGTCATTGTTTATTGATGATTAGAAGTGATTAATTAGTATTCAATAATTATACTCGTACCATGGAGAGTTTTTTTATGTGAAACTACGGTAGTTAATTAATGTTAATTATATATCCATTTGCTGGGGATGAACTACCATTGATGGATACTATGGGATTTCATCATTGAACAAGACATGCCTGATGGTATTTGGTATGGATTAAAGTTATTGACCAGCAAAAATGGAAGGGGTCGACCCAACAATAAGGGGCGGATGGGACCCCAAGTTATGGGAAATGATGATTGAAAATCATGAGATGCAAGGGGACCCTTTCCCGACAAAGCCACATGTGCGAACATTGACCCCAATAAGACAAACGGCAGGATCCTTGTGGGAAAGCTATAACAAAGATGCCAACTGAGTATCGTCATTCTCAGTCATTCTCAATCATCTGATCTTGAATTCTTCCAATGACGGTCCTGATGTTGTTGGTGCTTCCTTCACCAGTTGAACCTGTCGGCCGTGGCAGGCTTTTGGCACACCCCATCCCCCTGCCGGCAGCGGGAGTTCGTTTGTCCGGCAGCAGGGCTCAGCACGTTGGAGTTGAGGAGCAATGGATCGCATCATGCAGTGCTGTTGTGCCCTGTGAGGTTTGTGGCTCTGGAGGACTGATGAAGATGGGAGAGAGGGATCATTGAGCCAAGTTGGAGATGAAGATTTGAAGGGTCTTTGAAAAATGTTGAATGCTAAAATTGCAAGGTCAAACTTCAGAAGCACAGGACTTCTAAGTACCCAGGTTTTGCAGCTTCCAACATTTCCCAGCAAGGAGGTGTCAGCTTGACGCCATTGGATGTGAGTCATCAGTCAGCTGTCCCGGCCTCAAACACATCGTTTCAGGATCGGAACACGTTGAACGCGGCTGAGTCAAAGTGCTCGGAAGCTGATGGATCCTGATGGAATTCAGTATGAGATGTTCAAAGGTGAGAGTCATTGGAGATATGATTAGTGTTTTCCTTGACAGAATGACCAGAATGTTGGTTAAATATGGTCATATGTGGTAAAAACATGGTTAAATATTTTTAAACATATGGTTAAATGTGGTTAATTCCCACTAAACCCCATTAAATCCCTTGAAGTCCCATTAAATCCCGTTGATCGCTGAGGATTTCGAGCGTTTGGAACTGGAAAAGGCAGGGGCTTCCCAAGCCGAGCCGTGCGCTGAAAGCTTGAGGAGCAGGTCACTCTTTGGTGAGTACCTATAAATCCCATAGTGCCAGGTAGGACTTAATGGATTTAATGAGAGTCAACCAACACTATGGTGATGATTTATTGTGAGTTACTGAGATCAAGAGCTATATAATCATCCATCTTTTGCCGGGATAAACATTCATAAATCCCAGCATATCCCAGCAAATTTTGCTGTTTTGGTGACAGGTTGACAGGATTTTGACCCACTAGATGACTATTTCTTAGACACATGTTAGACACTGCTTCGATTTCAACAGGATTGTTTGTTCATCTTATTTGCTACGGAATCCCGAGGCAATTCTGGAGAAGAAGGTGGGTCAGTCCGGCTGTGCAAAAATGGCTACAACGAAAATTACGTCATTTTGAGATTTGCTTGAAGATGTCGCACTGCGTCTCATCAGGTTAAGATGAAAAGCTTTGAACTTCCGCTGCTTCGGATGGCGAACTCTCCAGGCGATTGGTTTGCAATGGAAACTTCGATCGCATGACCAGGACATTCTCGATCTACAGGCCTGCGAGAGATTTTGGTCCTGAAATCTTGGAGTATGCCATCCCAAAAAATTCACTTTAATGATTTTAATGTAGTATAAAGATGAGGAAAATGATGATAGGGTTGCGACAGCCAATCTTGAGACAGATCCACATGTCTGGGTAGGGGCATAACAGCACTAGTTTAATGATAAGTCAACCATTCATCGGGCAACTATGTGGATGGAGCGGCGGCACATGACATATTTTGAGTTTTTGTTCAAAATCTCAATCATATTTCATAGAATGTAGGTATCAATAGGTATCATATTTCATTCTGAGATATTCTGGGCACATTGACATCCAATTCCTTTTTGGAGGTGTCCTAAAATGGAGCCCCAAATCATCTCATAGGACCCATTGAGCCCAGTGGCTGCCAGGCCGATTTGAAGGGAGTCATGGTCCGAGATCGCTTCCGATCTCTTTGCGTCACAGAAACACTTGCAGCCTTGGAAGTTATGTGTATATTATGATATGATATATAATATGTTTATCTATACACCATATACATATACAATCATAATCAATCATATACATAGTACTGTGGTTATGTTGTAATATAATAACCTCAAATTAACTATGTGTATATATATAATTATATATATTATATGGTATTATATTGATCGATAGGGGCCAGAGATAAGTGGCGAAGTGAGGCATATGGTCTTTGCCAAGAACTGCATGGTCAGCTGAAGAAGCAGACTGATGAATTCCAAAGTTTCATGGTTGGCGTTCGCGCAAGCATAGGACTGGCCTGCAATTCTAAGGATAGCTTGGCCCATCCTGCCATCTTTTGGCCACTTTCCTGTTTTCCAGTATACAGGTTTCGCAACTTGAATGGTCGATTAAATATGACTAATTTTGATGAAACATGGCATTTGCGCAGCAAACCTTACAGTCTTCGATGATTTCAGATATGGTCCATTTTCAACCATAGAAAGGGAATGATGATCAACATCAAGTTGGATTATGTTGGATTTGTTCAACCATAGAAATGGTGATTGCAACCATGTTCCATTCATTGTTTACAGAAATTAACTCAGCCACCAGTTGGCAGGACACTGGACCGCTCACCAGCATCAACTGAAGGCACTGGATACGGCAGCTGTGTCGCGGGGGCTGGTGCGATGGCATTTCTTGTGGGATCACTGTAGGTCTATAATTGAATTGTCTACATATGTGTATATGCATTATATACATAATATATATATATATACAAATTTATATACATACACTGTGTAATATATCATGTATATCTACGTAGTTGCATGTCCTTTTTCATGCTTGGCAATTTCGAGATTAACCAGCTAGTTATCACTTATGGCAAATTACAGTCGCATGTGGGCTTGCCTCAAGACGAAGTATACCCCGCCAGGAGGAGATGGATGAGTTGGCAGATCAGTGTGCACCAGGCGCTGGCGCCATGTAAGTTTTGAGACTCCGGCCATGATATTTATGGTCAACTTGGGAATGGTCATGGATGGAATATACCATCAATTGATGGTATTTTAAGGTACTTTATGGTTATGTAATGTTATGTAATATATTAAATATTTTTTTTGGATGGCCATTCAGAATTGGGGCAATGTTCACCACCTTTTTTTATGGCTCCCAGCTGCAGGCCATGCCGAAGTGGTCAAGTTGGCTGAGGACTTGATGGAGTGGTCAAGTGGGGACAGGTCTGCATCCAGGTCCATTACCGGTCAATGACCGCATTTTCAACCACGCATATGGGATTTGAAGGGGATATTTGAAGGGGATTGACACAACCATCGGACCATCATCATGAAATTGTTTTGACTGAAGCTTATATGTTGAATAGGTTCCACAGAACATGGTTGTTTGAATAATTTATGATTGACCAGTAGCTTGTGGCCATCCTATTTTTGGACAAGCCGTTTGCTATTATTGAGTGATGATTGTTGAAGAGAAACTCTTGAAGTAGATTTGGGTGCCTGACTGCTTTCAGAGGCAGTGCATTCATCATCAGCCACTGGCCTGAAGTTGATCAAATATATAATACATGAAATCCCACTTCATATTGACACTGATCTAACAAATATCTAAATCGAACTGTTAAATTGATTCATATCCACAAACTTAACAATGCCACTTATAGTAAGCACATGTTTTTCGAAGATAATAAAACCTCGTAAATACATCCTGGCAACTCAATTGCATCGGTGATCTTTATCAATTGCATCTAATTGTTAGTGTTAATTAATTACACAACAGATTTCACCCAATCAATGTTGAAATCCCAATAAGTTTAACCAACAGATTTAGATAATTGTTGGAATTCCCAATTGATCTCTCACCAATATTGAGACATCTATATAATGGGAATATTGCATCATTTCTTGGAATTTCCAATAGATTCCCAATCGATTTCAGTAAAACACCTGGTTGTTAGAATTCCTAGTCATTTAATCTCCTGGTGTTGCTAGTGTAAACCAGCTCCAAGGAGCTTCAGCTGGCAAGACAAAAGCTACAGGCTTCGCAAAGGCGAAAGAGTCGTAGCTCGACTCGAACGGAGAGTTTAACCAGGGGTTGCTGGGGGTTGGCACTTGAACCATCCAAGAAATTTTAAGAAATTGGGATTAACTATATGGTCAACCTTTAAACAAATGCACTTTAACCACGCGGACTTCATCATCAAATACGGGAAGTTTGAGATAGTTTGAGCCATCAAATGGGGTGTTTTAATTTATTTAAACATAATATCAAGAGGTGACTGCACCAACAGCAGGAGATGTTGAACGTCTTTTGCACGGCTCAAAACCTATTTTCTACTCGTAGCCATTGATATATCCTATCTACATTTTTCAGGGGGATGAACATCGTGTCTTGTTCCGCGGCATCGTCGTGGTCGCTCTACATTAGTCACCGCGTTTTTTTTCTTTTTTTCGAAGCCCAAGTCGAGGCCGTGAAAGCACAAAGCAACACCAGGCAACCATCCAGGCACTGGGAAGTCTCGCAACCGGTGTGCTAGTGGAGTAGTGACTGTACGTTCATGTATTTTCATGTATTTTCTATATTGTCATGTAGTGGAACTGTAAGATAACATAATGCTAGTCTTAAGCAAATGCACCAGATGTAGCCAGGGTATTCAGGTTACTAATTTTTCCGTATGGGTCCGTCCCTTGACTCGAGCTGGAATCATAGGTGAAAGTGGTGTTGGTCTCGGGTCTACCAGCAAATTATAAGATATGGAAAAGCTACCAGAAAGTTACATGCTATATTCACTATTATATTCATTGGTATATGCTTAAAAGTGAACATCACATAATATGGAATCTGTTAAAATATGTTAAAATTATAACCCATAGGATCCATGTATGCCATATATGTGAACATTTACCATCAATCTACCCCAAATGTTAGCATATATACCATGCATGGATCCTATGGGTAATGTTCCAAGAATTTCCCCCATGGGATTTCCATGCAATGTCCGGAGGCGTTGCAGCTTCGCATCCGTGAGTTGGGGCACGAGGCGAGCTGCAACAGAGTGGATTGATGGATCTTATGATTAGTTTATTGGAATTGATGTTTAGTATGTTTAGTCCATGTAAGTTTTGTTTGTAGATTGATTGGATACTTATAACATCTTATAACTTATAGCTTTTATCTCTGATGTATGTACATAGATAATTATATAGATATACATGTATGCACGAGATATCTATATAGATACATGTATACAACTAAATCTTTTTAGCATGTCTTTTAGACCCAACATGTTACATGAGGACCCACCATTTACAAGGAAAAACACAACTCAATTTTGGATTCAGACCTGGCAGAAAAACTGTTTCACAGAACTCCTGGCTGCAGAAAAGCTGCTCTGGACAGTCCACTGGTTCTACTGACCTCTGTTTGTGTTTTTGCAAACGGGACAATCGTCAGTTCTACGGGCTCCCCATGTTTGAGAAACGCCCATCTCGTTAGGATGCGCCACCCAGTCCGGATGCCTGGGGATAAATTCTCCTTGCTGTGGTGTTCATGGCATGTATTACATCATGGATGATTTTAGTGCATTGTATGATTCTTGTTTTCCTTCTTGCTATCATTTGCTATCCAAGAATTGTTGAAAAGCGATGTGTTTGCGGTCATCAGTGATTTAGCATTGCAATTGTATAGACTTGCCAATCAGACTTGCCTTGGAATGTTCACTGCACCGAAGGTCATCGATAATCATGGACAATTTGTTCGAAGCATCTACAATTTCGAGTTGGGTGTTCATCGTTCATGGATCTGTCGATTCAGTCGATTCATAGATTTGATTGATAAATTAACAACCTTCCATGTATATCCATGTATAGCATCAGCCTTGTAACTCAATCGTAAATCATTGCATAGTGCATAGAGGCCGAGATAGACATCATCCAGTTGTTCCCGAAACTCAGCCTAGGTGCCTAGGTGCCTAGTTGTTTCCCTTCTTTGGTTTTGAAGTCCAGCTGTTTGTGTTCAGCAGGCGAAGTTTTGCAGCTGAAGAAAGAGTTGCTGGAGGCTGAAGATCAGAACCGAGAGTGGCGGCCTCATCATTGTGGTTGCTGCGAGAAAAAGAAGACATCATGGATACCATAGCTGCCATCGCTCATATGATTCCCTTGAGCTCAATGATGACAACTGGCTATGGATCAATACCTATTAATACCATTTTTAGTGGGATGAACATCCATAAAACCCAGCTATTTTGATGTGAACTACAGGGGTACCAGGGTTTTGACCCATCCCCATATGATTCCCTTGAGCTCAATGACAACTATCGTAACTATCCACTCATCACGGATATCACGGCGACTGATCAGAGATCAGAGGCTAGCTGAAGCTCTGGAAGCTCACGAGGTGCCTGACATGGAGTCTGGCTGCTACGCTGAAGAAAGCCTGTTCCATGGTTAAAAATGCTAGGTGACACAATGTCTGACACAAGGCAACTAGCTGAAATTAATTGAAATTAGCTGCATGATTCAAAAGCTGGATAGAATTGTTTCATACTCAAAGAGGCCCAATTTGATCCAATTTGTCGGTCCTTGCAGCCCGATGTGTGAGCTGACCTGCCCAGAAGCAAGCAGAAGACCAGGCAGGATTTTGATGCTTGGAAACGGCAGGAAAAGGAACTGCTTCTTTGCAGCCAAGATGATTGATCCATGGGAGATTCTTGTATTGCTACTACAATAGCGATAGTAAGATCATAGCCATTGACATTGTTTGACGTTGATCTGGACCTACTTTCAAACGCGTCCCCTGTCAATCGCATTTGTGCCAAAGGAAGAGAGAGAGAGAGAGAGAGTCGCACAGGCAGCGAAGATGGAGGCCGCCCTGGAACAAGCAACACAACAAGGCGACAGATGGGCAGCGAAGAAAACCATGGATACAGTTTGAGCTTTGTCCCACATGTTCTAGGCATGCATTTTTGAGAGCTGATAGTGGAGCTGATATTATGTTAATTGAGTATATATGTTTGATTATCTTGAATATGTGTGCTGGCTCTTCGTGCCCTAGACATGTTTAAGGTTAGGGGAGGGTGGTCCATTCCCTGGATCACAGAGTATGCAAATTGCAATGTTCTCCCAGGTGCAGAAAGTGCCAAACTGGAGGCAGGGTGTAGGACATCGAGCGTTGAGAAAAAAAAACTTCAGGCCAAAGTGCCAAAGAGGCGAGAAATCGAGATTCGAAGTTTCAGAATTGAAGGGGAACGACAATTTTTGGATCAATTTGGATATGGGTATGGGTCAATACCTATTAATACCATTAATATACCATTAGTGGAATGAACATCCATAAATCCCAGCTATGACTTGGGGTTCACCAGGGGTACAGGCTTTTGACCCAGCACTTTTTCGCCGCGTTGAGGTGAAATCTTCCAGGGCAGCCTTGGCGGCTGCGAAGGTGGAAGGCGGTAGATGGTTGTCATTTGGAGATTGGGAATGAGTCAAAACCAAAGAGCCGAGATTTGATTTTTATGGGTTTTTATGGACTTGAATGGATTTGAGTCATGATTTTTTGAAATGGAAATTCATGGAAATGTTGTTTGCAATTGAATGGGACAGAATGGGAATCATGGGGATGGGGATGGCTCAAAACCTGTGTTTTGTTTTTCCAACATATTTAGGGGAATGAACATCCACCAGCTATTTTGGGCTGAATAGAAAGGTACCAGGCTTTTGACCCATAGCCTTTTGTATCATTTGTATCACAATTTGGCCATATTATATATATATATATATTATATATATATTTTATAGATAATTATTAGGGGGCCAAAGGAGCCACAGATACTTCATATTACCTTGATATACTGTATCTTGGAGAGCACTAGCGAACCCAATGGGAAGTAAGTATTGCTTTACCACATTTTCAAACCGAGATCATATGCTAAAAGGAAAAGAATCTGAGAAGTGCAATCATATATCAAGATGAGTCACTTGCAGTTTGCGCCCACCCATAGATTTCAAAGTGGTGGGGTCCCAAAATCCAAGAAACATGCTTGTGAGGAGGAGGTTGGATACTGCTGTCCATGAATGATGATGTTCCATTGGATTTCTACCTGTGTTGGACATGTCAAAGTTGCCTTCGCAATTTGGAAGGTGCAAAGGAGCTTCCAAAGGGCTCAGTGGCAAGATTCCCAGTCGACCAGCAGCAAATGTCTCTAAACCAGGACGTATCACAAGAATTTGCTGCTGGGTGGTGCATCAAAATGTGTCTTCCTGACTCCATGAGGGGTACAAGAGCGATTCTCAAGCGTGGAAACGGTTTGCAATGTCTTTCGATGCCCATGCCCTACAAGCCACATCGTCGATTTCAGAATGTTGAATCCCCCAATTTGAGATTGACAACCGGAACTGAATCTTGTTGGGCTGATTCAACCACCTGGCTATGGATCACCTATGGATAGCATCAGTAGAAATGGACATCCATTTCCTATCCATTTCCCATCATGCACCAGCTAAAACCAGGTGACTCAACAAGGGATTCCAGCGGTTTGGACCCCCAGATATCCTGGCAAGGTGGGTTTCCTGAAAATGATGGCGGAAGGTGCCCCACTTTGGAAGCTATGCGCCCGGACGCCAAGGGCATAAAAAAAAACGGCCAAGGGCCGGAAAAAAACGGGTGGTCAAGTGGTCAAGGGCAGCTACAGAAATAATGTGGTTAATACATTGACATGTCAATACCAATCATTCATCCATGGTCCATGGTATCATGATTTATGTTTTTTAATGGTCTATAACGATCTATAGTCATTTTCTTGAAACAAATGCCCATCATGTATGTAGCTGCTGCAACATGGCTACGATTGCATTCCTTTGCTCCATTCAGCTGGTCAGGCAGGCAAAGGCAAGTGGCAGCAACGCTTTCTGGCGCTGACGCCAGTGCGAGCCCTTGTTTTTCTGGGTAACTCTAGAAACAGATACTGGCTGGCTGATAGAAGTTTCAGACACTTTAGGATAAAAAAAACAGTAGTACCGGAACGCAGAAGGCAGTAGTACACTCCGGAAGTTTCCAATTTGGGGAGATGAAGCCTACTTCATCCCGCCATCTGAGGGACCGCCGGCAGCAGCAAAGAGCCTTACTTGGTCAACAGATGCCAAGTATATGGGTGCGCAGAGGGTGACTTTAGGAGTCAACAACCACTTGTGACGTTCCTCTTATCAGGTCGAAGAATCTTTGGGCGACCCACCTGCGTCGACATCAAGGAGGCACGACGACTGACTTGACTTCTCTGGCCAAGTCCTCCTGTTTTCTCAAACTTCCTCAGACGGCATGGCCCGGCATGGGGAAGATATCTGAAAATTCTGAAAGAATATGTTCATGCGATTGATTTCTCATGATTTCGCAATGGTTTGCGTAGAATGCGTAGAAAGGAAATAAAGATCAGCTGGCAGAAATTCGAGGGTCCCCATCTTTGGATACAAAACATGTCGCTTTTCGCGAAATTTCTGTGTCAGGTCGTCCAGATCAGCTTCGGCGCAGAAGCCTTGCCAGCCGGTCAGAGAGATAAGGTCCCTGGATTCGGATGTTCTGCAAGGATGTCGCACATGTTGTGAAAGAAAAAATAGAAGCCACCCTTTTTGTTCACGATAGGCCATGGTTTGCGGATAAGCTGTGTGGGTTGCCTTGCATGTCACCTATTTTCAACAAGTTTCCTGACAGATGCATGACTTTCAGCAGACATTTGCACCGATAAACGGTGGGTTTCCTGAACTGTGAAGGAGACAGAACCTTGGTGTTGCTTCTCTGTTTGGACTCCAAAGCGATCCTTTCACTTCAAGGTATCGAACTCAGCGCCAGTCGGATTTTTCAGACGTTGTGAAGCTTGGTTAAAGTGAAGATATGTCCGCATGTTTACATTGATTAAAGGGCTACGCCCTCTGCCGCCGACCCCTGGACACTGGAGGGTCATATATATTACCATGGTATATACTAGTAGACGCAAAATATGTGCAAAACCATACTGGGCAGAAACTCCGATAAAGCCTCTGCAGTGATGCGATCTGAAGTGTGAAGGCAATTTTGGACGAAGACAAAGCTGCTTCAACTGCGCGATGTTGTGGACTTTGGCTTATGGGAGTGCAAAGCATCAATGAAAAGATTAAACTGATTCAATGCATTATTCGACATGACAGTCAACATCACAGTTTATCATCTCATATTTTTTGCGCATGTTGGCAGCTGAAACAGTGCATCAACATATGTGAATGACTTCTTCTATCTCCAAGCCTGTAGAGAGATAGAGGGAGACTAGGTTGGCATGGCCCTGTCGCTGACAAAAAAGTACATGTTGTTCGACTTGCAAGGTAGATAGACAGAGAGCCATGCCGCGATCGTGTATTGCATGTGGTGCTGGCGTGGGCGGATCATCGACTGCGATCGCTGGGGCGCCGTGCCTTGGCAGCAGAGGAGGGTCTGTATGGCAGCTGAGGCTGCAAGATGCAGGAAGGGTTAGAGAATGAGGGGAGATGAGGGCCATGTTGGGGAAGGGAATGTAGGAGGGCTGAGCGGCTGCAGGCTGCATGAGTTGGTCACGGCGGAGGTGGTGGAGCTGGGCGGCGAGGAGGTGCACAGACTGTGCCGGAAATGCAACATGGCTGACGGCAGTTGAGCAGGGGCGGTGACGCCAAGGGCGGTTGGGTGTTGACTTTCAATGGGTTGGTGGATTCGTGCATCGACAGGCCGTACACAGACACACGTACAAGCACACACCCCTATCCTAGTAGGTTTCACCTGGGCGTCGGGGAAAGCATTGTGTTTCGCAATGAAGAATGAAATTTTGCGTGGACCACGGCAATTTGTTGCGAGTGAGAGGTCGGTCCAGGCCAAAAAATCATTGTAAAGATCGAAGACTGCAGAAGGAGTGAAACAGAAACATGGACCGCAGACCCGTCAGCCATTCATTTTGCTATGGCCATCAAACATATTGACAGAAAAAAAAGGCATTGAGAGGTTTATGTCAAGACTTTGTTAAGGATTTCCGCGCTGTGCGTTTCTGGTGGGGACGTACTGTACACATTTTCGTTGTTTAAGATTCCATCTCGGTGGTTATCTGGGAAAGCAGTCCCCATGTGGTCGGTGTTGCGCACATCCATATATTGTTTTGGGTCTTAAATTTAGGTCCCTCATGTGAAGGAGTCTCTGTACCAAAGTCTGATGGCTTCTGTAAGGGTCCCGTTTCCAGACACAACCAAGAAGCAAATCGAGCTGACTGTGTATCGCACATGGATCCATATTGAGATAAGTTAGAGAGATGAGTGGTGGCCCGGGAGCAGGGCAGCGTGAGGTAAGAAGCTCCCGGAGGTGGCAAAGAACTTGGTGCAATTCACCCATGTTTGGGCTGGTGTGCCTTGGCGTAGCGGGAGAAGCAGGGGGTTGGGTGTGGGTGAGGCTCTGGAAGAAGTAAGACGATGTTATGGGTGATTGAGTGGGGCGGTGCTCAGGCGTTGGTGATCTTGTGCAGACGGCTCTATGGCGATGCTGGCAGCAGATGCAAGATTGCCGGGTTGCAGTTTGG